CTAAAAAGAAACTAATCACATCAAGTTAACAGAACGGCTTGTATAGTTGGAGTGTTTTGTGTAAACACACCAGAGCCTGTCTGATAGGCTTAAGTAGAAATCCATATTCCGGTATATCATGTTATTATGTTTCTAATATAAAGTCTCCACAGTATTAATAAGAGCTCGAGTTGTCATTTTCACTTTCTCTTCTGTTAAAAAGAAGTTTTTCTGAGCAACTTAATAGTGAAACTATTTTTTGTGTAAGAGGAGTAGTTAAAGAATGATACGATACTTCCAGAATTATTTAGGATAGAAATGCCATAGAAGCATTCAAATTTGTGATTTTTAATTCAGCTATTATATAAATTACATTGTTACAGTTTCAGTGCTGTATTTTTTTCCAGTTTTAAATCTATATAGCTTTGCTTGCATTGTTACAAAAAGTGTTGTTAAATGCACTAATGGCTTATAAATACTATTCTTGACCTGTCTTCTGCCTGCTAAAAGACTTCTGCAGTATGCTCTAATTCAGGTGAGAGATCTAACCTGAAACAAATCAAATGGCATTTTATACTGCAGTGAAATAATCATCTGTTGTTTTACAATGGTTCTCCAAGCAGGATTTGTTGCTTCTCACACACACGCTGTTAGAAACAGAACCATTCGCTTAAAGGAGCAACCATGTTTAATCAGACAAACCAAATTTTTGCCTTGTGTTACACACCTGTAATTAATAACCAAGCCCATCTTACAGTTACACGTTCAGATGCTTATGTATCACTGTTATGTTGCAGCAGTTTTTTTCTCTGCATTGTTGGACATATAGGATAATAATACTTACTATAATAAGTATTATATAAAGTAATAACTTTTTTATTAATTGTTAAGCCTAGGAGGTATTGCCAACTCTCTATGAGAGGTGAGCAAGCCCTAAAAAGTACTCAGGTAGCTCTTTAGCTTTCTTTCCTGCATTGAGTGCAGCTGTATCACTAAGCAGACGTTTGCATGAGCTGGCCCAAAAGCTCCAGTGCTGGAAGTGCCTGGCTCGTCTCGGCAGCGCTGCTGTGCAGAGCCTGTTCTCCTGCAAAGAAAAATCTCTCAGCTTTGATCTGAGAGATTCTTTGTTACAATATTAAGCGGAATTATTCCTCTTTGCCCATTTTTTTTTTCTCTTTTTTAACCAGGGGACAAAAGCTGCCATCTTCCTTCTTCTGTAATCTGCACAGTCCTCATGCTCGGTTTTTCATTTCTCCATCACAAATTTGTCTTCAGATGTATTTCTTTTCTGTTTCTGCTGCAGTGAGATGGCCAAAACTGCCTTAGGACTTGTTCTGGAGTGAATTAAGCTGGAAAGATGGAAATTTATCCCCGTATTTTATATTATCAGTTACAGAATTTATCATGGTTCCCCTCTATTTGTTTTTGGCAGTAGTATCTCAGCTTGTGGTACTGCATAATTGTGTTTCTGCTGTTAGTGCTGTCCATCGGTGCTGCCTGCATATCTTGTGTCATTCTCTTGCTTTTGTTTTCTCCTGTTTTGCATCTAAACTTCGACCTGAGTGCAGCCTTATGAGTGCTTTCAGAGGCTTCTTTGAAGCTCTTCCTTTGTGCTGGAGGAATGCAGGTTTGTAAGTGTAGCAGAGTAACCTCCCTGTTTGCTCCAGAGAATATCATTCCAAGTTCTGTGAAAAATTGTGGCAACATCAGTGTGTCCCACAGAGTTTCTTTCCTATTCATCAGGCTTTTTTCCACATGTGATTGTATTCAGTGTTACATTCACTTTGTATGCTTTCTGTTGATATTTATTCGTTCTCTTGTTATCTGTTTGTTTGTGTATCATTCTGTAAATATTTTCAGCATCTCCTTTTCAGTGAGCTGGCTGCTACCTTGCACCTTACAGTTGTTTTCAGGACTAAGCAAGGACTGTTTTCTGACCAATACTTTTCTGTGTAATTTTCAGAAGTTACAGTTTAAGCTGATGATGGCCTTTGCTGCGTTGTGTGCAGTATAGTTTCAGTAATTTGCAGCTTCTAATAACTTGAGAGCTGGCATGGGGTTCTTTTGCTGTTACGTTTTTCCAGGAGGCGTTTACCCTCACTTCCTTAAATAGTTAAAACTATCCTCTTTTGATGTTTCCATCTTCACTTTCTTTGATCTCCTCTCCTGTTGCTACTTCCATTTTATTTCCGTGTCTCTGGCATACAGTGAGATTAGGAAACAGTGTTTTAGTAAGGTCTGCCTTGTTAAATTTGGCAGGCCAGTTTTGAAGGGCGTTCCTTCTCTTATCAAACAGATCCTGTGTCTCAGCAGACTATACTGGAACACACTGTTCTCTAACTCACAGTCAGCAGTGTCTGAGCTCTGTTGGTCTGTTCCCATGTTCATCCATCAGCTTGGACTCTTCTGAGTGCCTTCCTAAGGGCTGTGCACTAGGAAGCAGTTGGAGACCCTTCCCAGGAGCCCCAAGGAGCTGCATGGCACTGCCAGCACCACTGTGTGTCTAGGGGCCGAAGCTGTGTGTGCAGCCACAGGAAAAGCATCAGTGCTGATGACACTCTCTTTCCATTTGCTGTAGGCTCTGCCCTTTGCATCTGAAACAACACAAGAAATAATTGTGTTTTCTGCCACCAGTGCGTGGTTTTCTGTCTTTTGTCTCCAGATGCTGAGCTCTCCTTATTCTTCACTTCCTGTTGGACAGTTTAAGCTCTTCTGTTTTTCCGGGCAGGTTTCCTTGGCCCGGCCTGTGGCAGGGTTTGCTATCCTTTTTCATGAGCACAATATGCTTTGCTGTGCTGGAGCCTCTCTAGCAGCTGTGCATCAGGCAGTTGTTATCCTTGTTGCTAGGCAGCATTTTAATGTTTACCTCCAAGCCTGACATGCATTTTTGTGCTGCTTGCAGGACAAAACTTCACCCATTCTGCAGTCTGATTAATGGACTGCAGCAAAAGCAGTGTTTTCATAGCTTCCCTACTATCGGGTAAGGCACGTGTCCCTTGGAACAGGAAAACCAGAACAACCCACAGTAAGAAGTTGTCACCCAAAATGGACTTGCAGGAGTCAGACTGTTTTTATAGGCTGCATGCTAGTTACGAAACAAATATTTAGACTGTGGCAGCCTTCTGTGTTGTCATCACCCTGTGAGGCTCAGTGTGATTGCAGACTGTGAGCACCGAAGTCCTTGGAAGAAGAGACGTGAAAATTAGAGGCCTTCAGTATTGAGAACTGGGGCAAAAGGTGCTGTATGGATGGAATGAGGCACACTGTGCTCTGTGAGATCCAGAAGACCATGGCATTGTGGTGCTGCCCTTGTATGCAGAGGTAGTCTGTGAACGCAGAAGTACAACTTTGCTTCTCAGTAGCAGCTGATGAGCAGCCATTTGTTAACTGCTTTCTATCCCCTAGCTGTCAGTCAGCTGCTGCAGTGGTGGTGGATATCTGCAGGTCAAGGTGGTGCTGCTGTACTGGACCTTGGTGAAGTTTTTCAGCATGTTGCAGGAAGAAGGGTTGGTGTGGGAGTTGTTTGCAGGGGTGGAAGAGATAAGGTTCCCGTACACCATAAATAAATCATGCAGTGCAGAAAACAGAGACGTCCTTTGTGAAATGAATAGGAACTGGGATGACTAATACGAAGGTGTAGAGCAGATACGTACTTATTAGTCATGTAGAAGGAATTCAGATTAATTTCATGGAGAAGTAAGAAAAGGAAAATGTTACAGAGCAAAATAAGGAAAACATGATGTTGCCTGCAGATCACTTAATGACGATAATATATAAAAAGATCATTTAGAAACATTTGTTCCTTGTCCTGATATAGGAGGCTTTTAAAAATTCTTACATACATCTCCACTCATACAAAAGTTCTCACCTATTATATGATTAGTCTTTATGTGTATACATAAGTGGAAGTGGAAATTATTTGCTTACAGTTCTGTAGTGTGGCAATTGCAGATTCTTTCCAGTGTATACTTAGAGTTCTAAGCCTCTTACTAAGGTAAGAAAGGTATCAGATGTGTTACAAGGAAGAGCACGCTATAGTCATCATAGCATACCTTTTAAATGTTGTGCAACATTTTATTATTCTTGAGAAATAGTTATCCTGTGAAAAATAAATATTACAAATTTCTATGTGGAAATAAGAGGTCACTCCAAGAATGGAATAGTTATGCAGCCTCTGAGTTCCTTCAGATTACACATGTTTTAATTCAGTGAGAGGCATGGTAAGCATCTGAAGAAAATGAAGTCTAGATTTTTTTTTTTATTATTTGTGCTGTTCATTTAAATGCAAACTGTGAACTTGTTGCTACAATTGAGTTTGCAAACACAACTTTAAGCACAGAAACAGTAAACAGGATAGAGAGGTAGTATTGCATTTGTGTTAAGTATTGATGATTAAAGTATTAGTTTCTGGGCTGTGGAAATTGATACAGTTACTGAAGAAGTAAAATATCTGCTTCTGGGGATAACACCAGGGATAGCATTGCTGAAACTAGGAGAGTGGGCTTTGTTGTTCATAGCTCTTTTGAACGCATTGCATGATATATAGAACAGGTCCCTTCCAACCCCTACAATTCTGTGATTCTGTTAACACTTTTTGGTGTCTGTTACGTGGAAAATAACGACCCCTTCTCATCTTAAAAGGTTTGAGCTTCCAATTTAGTGCTAAGTATTTTGTGTAACTAACTAATAAATCCAAAAGCATGGTTACTTTATGGAGAAATTTGAAATTTGTAAGAACCCTGCATAGTAGGTTTAAGTTCAGTACAAGAGCAGAATTTGAGTTTGTTTTGATACGTGATATGAAATTTGTCTTTCAAAAGTGTTGTTACACGATCTGTTGTCAAAATCCTGCATAAACATGTAGGAGAAATACAAGCAAGATAGAAGATGTAAAATGATAAATCTGATTTTCAGTAACGCTGTATTTTTTACTCCTGGCTGCTTATCTAATGGATTCTGGTTGCCTATATACTTGCTTTTTGGAAGTATGTAGAATTTATTGTTTGCTTTTTTTCTTTCAGAAGCAGTCTCCCTCTGCGGATGTATCAAAACCACCCATTATGAAGCCATCTGAAACAAAGGTACGGATTTCTGAGACATTCAGTCTTGTAGCTAAGCATAACTACGTGAAGCAGTGGAATTTCTTTTTTCATACCTCTGACTAAGATGCTGACTAACTTTGCTTTGCATATTTCTTGTCTACAGCTTAGTTTCTTCATTAAAAAAAGTCTAAACAATGTTGTACAAAGGACTTAAGGGTTTTATGAAAACAGTGCCAAATTTTAGTGCAGTCATGCTTCATGACATGTATATAGCTCCCCCCAGTGTAATTACAGTTTTATTCACCTGATGATAATTTCACAAATGGCATTTTCTTGTAAATCACTCATTGTTGGCTGTCTGAAAGCATCCTTGCTTTTATTCTTTGTACTTGTTTTCTGTCTTGTGTTGTGACTACAACTCCTTCAGTATAGAAGGTGTATAATCAATCCTTGTGTTTTACTACTTGGAGGACAGTCATCCTTGTCATAGTAGATGGGTGTGCTTTTCTTGTTAAAGACAGCCAGCCTAACTTATGCCTGTTTTCATTTAACACAATTTATGAATATTTCAGGAAATGTTTAATGATGTTCTCCCACCGTTTTCCATAATTATATCAGAGAATCCAACAAAATTATAGAATACTAACCTAGACCAGCAACAGACTCTGAGGTGGTGAAACTTACGACTGTCTGCATCTTGTGTTAAATACAAAAAAATAATAGAGTAGCAAGGTTAGAGGAGGCATCTGGATATAATCTTATCTAGCCCCTCAGTCAGAGCAGAGCCACCTTTCAGATGCTCGAGACCTTCCAAACTCTAACTACCTCTAAGTGTATGGATTGCACAGCATCTGTTGATAGCCAGTTCTGATATTTCATCACCTTCATTATGATTTTTTTTGTTGTTGTTGTTTTTACCTTTTACTGAATTGGGAAATCCTTCACTGTCTTTTCAGCGTGCACCTCTGAGGATAGTCTAGGTCCATCTTCTTTGTGTATGAAGCTAGCTGTTAGATTACCAGCGCTCTTTGAAGTGTTTACAAGATGAAACAGCAGCAGAGACATATACTTGAGCACTGACAAAAAAAAAAGGCTGTCAAACACAAACCACTTCAAAGCATAGTCCCACATTTGCATGTGTAAGATAACAGATGTTTTCTTCTAATGCATGTTGTGTTATTAATGTCGGTTCACCTGCTGGATTAGGCAAGATGCCTGCATTTTGACAATAGACTCATTTGAAGAGAAATAGTATTGCTAAATCTTATTTTCATTTCTAGTTTTAAATTTCTGGCAAACTAATTCCTTTCTAATTGGCCTGCTGTAAACAAGCCCATTTCTCTTTCTTGGAATCCCTGTAGTATACCACTATCCTTAAATATGTTCTGAACGTCTCTTTAGCTTCCAGTTCTGCATATGAATATTTGTCTTGAATTAGGCCTGTTTGCTGCTGCTCTGAGAAAGCTGTGATTTTACTGCAGCTTGGGGTCTTTTTTTCTTTTTTTTTCCTCACTCATTTTTCAGTCTCCTGGGTCAGTTTAGTATCTGGTCCTTTGGGTACTGACACAGTGCAGGTGGAAATTGGCAGTAGAAGGGGAAGTAGAACATCTTCTCAGTAAGGGATTTTGGTCTGTGCCATGAACTGGTGCTGTGGCTTCAGTTTACAACACATAAGTATCGTGACTGCTCACAATTGACTGAATATTTACCTTTGAATGTGTAGTCTCATACTAAAATAGAGAAAACACTGCCTTGACCTGCCTAGTAATAATTACTTATTATTGGATTTGAACTTTGCTACTGCTGAAAGTGTATCTAAATAAGTATCTCTATGTGAGCATTTTTTTATTCGTGATCGCATGTTCAATGTTTAGCATCTTCAGGTGTGTATGAGTCTTGAATCAAAGTATTGCTTATGTGAGCCCATGTATATTCTGTAATATTCAAATAGATAAGTTTAGAGTCTGAGATGTACAGTTTAAAATATAAACAAGTATAACAAATAGTGTATACCCTACTATATCTGTATCTATATAAATAGATATACTATATCTATAAAAATAGATGAAGTAAAATACTACTTACAGTATGCAAAAATAATAGCGTGTAGTTGCAAATAGCTAGGTTGTAAAGCTGAGAATTTATGTTCATGTTTGATATTCTCCTCAAATATTGACAGAATTTAAGCGCTCTATATTTTTTTCTGCAAAAAGAAAGTGTGTTTAATATTCTGAAAAGCATGTAAGAAAAACAGAAATTTGTGCTCTGCTTCAGGTCTCAGGCATCCAGCAGGCAACATTCCGCAGCAGGAAGAGTCAAACTATGCTTCTTATACCTCTGCTCTCACTTCTCTAACATTTCTTACAAAAAAGATTATGCTGCTGAAGGTCATCTCACGTCAGTTTGATTCTCTGCTATAGATGTTACACAAACATATCCAACCTGTTTGAGCCAAAACCTGAAAATTTATGATTGCCTTTTCAGTGTAAGATTTTACACAACTAGATGCCTCTGTCTTTGAGTTAGCCATACTGTGGTCAAATAACAATAATGCACAAGTGGGAGCGCATAGAGTATGAACCTTTTAATTACTGAGTTTTAATCCGCATAGACATTCAAGATAAAATCCAAAGGGGGGAAATCTTTGAGATTGGGTGACTATTACTATTGTTTTTAATACTTGTTTTTTCACCACTTTGTAGCACAGAAATTGGTTGATCCTGCTCTCTATCTGTGTTTTGTTTATCTTGTATGGTATTGAATGTCATATGGTGATGTGCTCTGTTCTGTCGCTTCCAAACCTCCACCCAGCTTGTGCCCAAGCATCTACATTTCTACACATGCTCACATTTTCACAACCAAGTCTGCACGGTCCAGTGTATGGGTGTAAATACTACCATAACAAATGATAAACAAGTTTTGGCAGTTTCTTTATCTAGTCAGCTATCAAATATAAGCTAGGTATGTCTAAATGGTAATTAATGGTTGGCAGCTGAAATAGGGAAAAATTACAAGGCTACAAACAAATCTAAATTACAGGCTTATATAATATTATTTGGTTGCTTACTGACTTTTAATAGGCTGATAGAAAAAGACAATGTGTTGTTTGTCTCTTAGCAACTTTAAATATGCTCATAGTATTTATTAGGATAAAAGGAATAAGGAGAGTTTCTGTCTGAGGCTGTATTTCCTGAGTTCAGAAGCTGTCTTACTGCATGTGGATACAGTGCAATGACACATACTGCAGGTGTGCCTGGTCAGCTGTGGAGAAAGCACAGTCCTGGGTAGGGGCAGAGGGCACAGTCTGCTGCCACAGCTCAGCTGCTATGAGCTGTTCTGCTCCCACCACTCTCTGGAGTTGTGCCCCACAACTGCAGATTTCCTCTCTGGGTGACAGGGCAGGAATTCGGGCTCTGTTGCACGTATATGGCTGTGTAGTTTTCCATATGTGCTTTTAGATTTTTTTGCACTTAGTGCTGTTTCTAGCACTAGTGACAGATTAAATTATGCTTCCCTGAACAAACCATCTCCCCAGTTGATTCTGCAGTGAGTGCTTCTGAGGTTCACACTTATGGGAATGGCTTTCCAGAAACCACATTAACTCTACATTTGTTAATCATAGAGCAGTTAAAGTAGCAACAAAAAAGCAAAGTAGTAAGAAAACTGTGATGAGTCATCTGGCACTTAGAATCATAGAATCACAGAATGGTTTGGGTTGGAAGGGACCTCAAAGCCCATCCATTCCCACCTCTGTGCCGTGGGTAGTCTCCCCACCTCCCTCAGCTCAGCTGCCCAGGGCCCCATCCAATCTGGCCTTGAGGGATGGGGCACCACAGCTTTTCTGGGCAGCTGGGCCAGGGCCTCACCACCCTCTGAGTAAAGGATTTACTCCTAACATCTAACATAAATCTCCCTTCTATAAGTTTAAAACCATTCCCCTTTGTCACTGACATGCCTTTGTAAGAAGTTGCTCTGCAGCTTACCTGTAGGCTCTGTAAAGGTACTAAACAGCCACAATGAGGTCTCCCTGGAGCAAGCTCAGCTCCCACAACCTGTCTTTTCATGAGAAATGCTCCTGCCTCTGACAATCTTTGTTTCTCTCCCCTGAACCTGTTCTAACTGCTCCATGTACTTATTGTACTGGGGATATTAGCCTGGATGCAGTGCTCCAGTTGGGATGACATGAGGGCAGCACATAGAGGGACAATCCCCTCCCTCTCCTTCATGGAGCCCAGAATGCAGATGGCCTTCTGCAAATGCACACTGCTTTTTCATGTCCAGCTTTTTGCATACCAGAGCCCTCAAGTTCTTCTCTGTGGGGCTGCTCTCATTGAGCTCCTGTCTGAGTCTGTACACATATCTGTGATTGCCCTAACCCAAGTGCAATACCCTGCATTTGGCCTTGTTGAATCACATATGGGCGTTTCTCAGGACTTCTTGGGTCCCTCTGTATGACATTTCTTTCCTCCAACTGCGCCACTCAGCTTGGTGGTGTCTGCAAACCAGCGGAGGTTGCATTCAATCCTGCTGCCCATGTCACTGACAAAGATGTTACACTTCAATTTTTCTTTCTTCCCATCATACAGAGCTATCTTTTGGCTTTTCAGTGCTCATTCTTACTTGTTTCTGTAAGTATTAATTTAGAGCTTACCATACTTGAGGCGAATCATAGGAATCAATTCTGTGGCATGGTTTCAGAAAGTTTTCATATTTGAATTAATCTGTTTATTTTGTTTGTTTATTGGCTTTGTAACCTCTCCTTTCACTCTCGGGTATGAGGAGTGTTTGTGTGTGCTTATATACATTGACAGTTGTTAGATCACTGGAAGGAAAGTCAGAGCCAGAGCAGCATACTAGTTGCACTGCGCAAGTACAAACCAGTCTAGTATTTCTCTTTAAATTAGCTTGCACGGTAGAAATACACAAATATATTAATCTCTCTCTGAATATAAATTTGTTACATTTCAGTCCACATCAACAAGCCAAATAGAACCTGAGAAAACTGCAGATTTGAAGGTGAGTACTCAGCTTTCTCTCTTTTGCTTTTGCACTTCATTTTTTGACTGACTTTGGAGTGATAGGATAAATTCTTAGCCACTATTTTGCTGAGCGAAACTGCTGAATGAGCAGTAACATACCTGTGTGCAAATGAGCTAGGTAGTGCTTTGTGGAAGCACTCAGTATGCATGATTGTTCTACAGCAGCTTAGGAAATCAGTTTTGTTTTTATTTAGGGGAAAGATGGGCAGAAAAATGTGGAGAAAGCTGGTGTTCTTATTTTTCCAGTTAGCAGCCTTGGAATATAGTTTCAAATTTGTTTGGATATCAGTCCTGAAGTACAGACTTCTTGTCTGTCAATTGCTATTAGGCATATTTATCTGAAGAGAAACAAGCAGTAGGCCAAATAGACTTCCTCACTGTAGGGAGGATTAACATTACTTCTTTTTTTTTTGTGTACAATCTCGTTGTTTACCCTTTCTACCTTCCAGAAAGAGGAAATAAACCTGGCTTAGAAAAAAAATATATATATCTCAAGTATAAAATAGAAACAACCAATTCACTTCCCCCAAAGCCATCCAACCCAAAGGGTCGAAGTTACTTCAGCCTTAATTTGCAAAAAAGGGCAGACTGTAGTTGGTCAGAGAGATTTAGTTTAGCAAGAGTACGTAAGAAAAGTTAATTCACTTTTCAATTTGCACTATTTGAAAATATAATTTAAAATAAAATTTTTTTTTAAAGGATAAATGAGTATTAGAGAGTGGAATAAGCATGCTTTTCTACTTACATGACCTAGGTATGGCTGTGCCTGTGATGGCTTCTCTAGATACATACCTTAATGCAAATACAGTTTGAAAGATGAATCATCTCTGTTTCCTCTAAACTGCACTTTTGTGTCAGTAGAAGCATATTTTGTGCGTAGCTGGCTAAAAATAAGAACCTCTTTAAAGACTGCCATTTTAAAAATGTGCCTGCAGTTATAGAGTCTTGCATCTTTTTTTTTTTTTTTTTTTAAAAACAAGCTATATAAAGTAAAGTATTTAAAGGATTGTCCACTTCAGAGGGTGTATTAGGCAGTAAGTACATTCTCCTCCCAGCCCAAATTTCTGAGTTTTGGTAGATAACAGGAATAAATCTTCTTCTTGTGTACTTCTGTTTAGTAAGAATGTTTATGTATAGATTTATTTACTTACTGTAGATCATGTTCCCTGGCATTGAATTGTGGTAAACGATCATAAGTTTCTCTTTTATGACAGCCATCAAACTCTCAAAACAATCAACCAGCTGAAGAGAAGCAAAAGGAATCCAGTGGTGTAAGTCATAATCGTCCCTCTCTGATACTTTTTACTTTTGTTTATTTATATATATATAATATATATATATATGTATTCTCAATCTATTGATAATGATTTCTCTCCATACAGGCAAAAAGCCCAATTGCACCTTCAGTGGTAACAGCTTTTAAACCAAATAATATGGGAAAGGAAACTACAAGTCAAGCTGAGCAGCCTTCACAGGCAACCACTGCAAACACAGCACAGGTATAGTAAAAGTAGCAATCCAATTTTTATTTTTTATGTTATGATAAAAGTTAGAATTCTGCATCTAGAAGGATTCTTACGCTGAACATTATGAAGCAAGATAGCCTCCAAAAGTCAAAATGTAGGAAAATCTCAGAAACTGTATTAATTTCAAAGGTGCCTATGATAGACTTCTTTTTGTGCTGTTCTAAATTTGAGACACTAGAAATTTTTCAAATTCTACGCACTGATTAAATTAGCCCCCTGGCTATACCAATTCCAGCTAACTCATGAGAGCATTAATGGATAAGGATTGTCTGCAGAGCAGATACAGCTTCAGTGGCAAATAGTATTGGTAGTTTGTACTTGTTTGGTAATCCTGATGCGTGTCCACCTTGTTTTCCTCTCTGTACATCTGTTTACATTGCTTAACGCACTGTGACTTTTGTTCAGGCAAGCAATATGAAGATTACTACAGCCGTAGAGCTGCTTAACTGTTCTCCTGTATGTTACATGCTTGGGACTCCTCAGTCCACATGGAAGCTTTCTGCAAGTTTCTTGCAGCTACTTAGGAGAGATTGGTTCTTCAGAATTTTTCCCTGTACCTTTATTACCAAAAGTGAATAGATGAGACCAGTCTATTCTATTCTATGTGATCAGTCTCTAGGTGTTTTATCTATGTGGGCACTGTCAGCATGGAACTTCTTTATCTGTGCAGTTTCAAGTATATTTGAAGTAGCAGTGTTTAATCCAAATGCAGAGATCAGGAGGCTATATGTTTGCAGTAGGATAGGCCTAACTGCAAGGCTGTAGGAAAAAAAAGTAGGAGGAGAAATGTTGGAAGAAGTTGAGGAGGTATCATTTCAGAGGGGCAAGTGGGGAAAATACTAGGGCAAAAACGTCTGGTAGAGTCAGGATCTACATCTTTTGGTCTTCTCATCTGTATGTGTCTGGGTGGCAACACCAGAGTACCATGAAGACTGTATTGATGTTGCTCCATTACTAAACTCACTGTTGCAATAAGTAGATAGCTTACACTTAATTTTTGAGCAGTATTTGCTGCTGGTTTTAACAGTGTACTGAGAACCACCATGCAAGCGAAAGCTTTAAAAGGAGGCTTGGAAGGGAAATCATAATCTTTTTTGCACTGCAAATTTCTTTTGCTGGCAAAAAAAAAAAAAAAAAAAAAAGAAGTTCTTAAAATTGCATGGGTTTTGCATGCAAGGTCACACTTTGTGCTGTGCTCAAATGCTAGAAGCAGCATATCATTCCAGAATATTGCACGTAGATGGTGCAATCAATCTGCCAAAGCATATGGATGCAGTGGAGATGCATAAACCAGTTGCTGTGTCCAAAATAAGTAGATTAAATTGAACGCTCTTGGCTAGTCTGAGTATGTGCAAACTGCAGATATCCAGCTTCCAAAGGCTTCAGACAGTATGTGGAACTGTTTTTGTTTTTTTTCAAATGAAAGTGTATATAAAGAGGAACAATAGATATGTGCCAGAGTACAATATCTGTTTCACTTTGTATTGTCTGTAGAATTTTTAATACAGGGTCACATAGTGAAATGATCTTTTAATTGTTCTCTTATTTCTCCAGGCTAAAACTGAAAAGACATCAACAGCAGATGGTGCAGGTGCAGTGGGTGAAGGTGCTGTTGCAAGTATGGTTGCTGCAGCTGATAAACCAAATACTGAGGTTGGTCAACACAGACCTAGAGAAATGCTTCCATTGTAAAATGACTTCAGTCAATGTTTCTTTTTCTGAAACTTTCCTGTTTCAGAAAAAATAAATGTGTAATTTCTGAAGTAATGCTTTCTAGTAGTTATGGATTGTGGTGAAGAGCTACGTGAAGGAACAGGTAAACATCTAATGGCATAGCATTTGCTTTCTGATTGATTTGCAATTATTTTTACCACAAGTAGCATAAAATTAATTAACTTTTATTTCTCACTTATATTCCTACATGTCGTTCAGCTAGTATATAAATGCAGAGATCTTGTTACTGACACTGGGATTGAGTTTAAGACGAGCTTTTGTTGAAAATACTTGCAAATACAAGACCTACACAAAGAAACTTTCTTGTCTAGTTCCTAAAGTTTCTCCACAGATTCACCAGATGATTTTTTTCTTTCCATGGGATAGCATGGCTTATAATGCTCTGCTTATTTTTTAGCCTGCCATGGATGAATCAGCACTGGACAGCTTAATAGATACACTGGGTGGATCTGAAGAAGATGTGGCTACTAGACCAGTTTACACTGGTCCGGAAATTACGGTATTTAGCACTTTTCAGTTTTTTGGAAAATTCATCAATAAAATAAGTCTGCAGTTGCTCATGGTATAGTGATGCAGTAAGTTACTTCAGTCTGCTAAGAGGCATAATAGGATTTAAACAGCTGCATTCTAGTGCTTTTCAGTAACAGAGAAATTGTATCATTATGTATATATTGCAGCAGGACATGGTTAAGTAAGTGACAATGAAGTTGCTTTTTGAATTGTCTTTCAAGTACATTTACAAAAGGCATTAACAGATGTGTAAGAGAACAATACTCTAGGAACTTTCATATCTACTTACAAGAGAATAAAATATTGAGAATTTGAAGAATGCATATTTTCAGAGTTAAAATAGGAGAGTCAGATAAGGACAGTTAAGATTACGAGTCTAATTCAGTACTCATCCAAAACAAGCAAGTTGGGATTAGTAAATATCTAAAATTCAGTACATGTAGAGTAATATATATTCTTTGATACCTTTAAATGACTTTGTTCCAGAAATAATCTAAGAGAGTTCTGCTAGATGACACACAGCTGAAATTATTTGATATACGTATGCATGACAGTAGATTCTGAAAGATATTATACAGCTGTTTTTCAGTATTGGTCCTGTGATCTAGCCAATATTTTTATTTTCTTTCCAAAAATGTCACTGTGGATAGATAAGAAAACTTAGAAATTGTAAATTTATTTCAGTGAACAGTAATATAAAAACATTGATGTGTACATTCTTTTCAAAGGAAAATATTTCTTCAGAGTACTTGGAAGAACTGGGTAAACGAGAAGGTAGCCTCCCTCCAGATTACCTTGCATTATTGAAGGTTTGTGAGTTAACAAAATACACAATCCTTTGTCGATTTTCTTTCTTTCTGTCTGTTTTTGTTTCCCACTTACTACAAAATCAATTCTCCTTCTAGAGCAAAGTGGATGGCAAAGATGGGGGCCTACCAAAAGTAGATGAACTTTCTGAAGTAAGTCTTTCTTTATGTGTGTATTGCAAGGTGAAAATAACCCAATTATCATAGGATTCCTTGGAAAATTAAAATCTAGTATGTGTTCCAGTAATACCAGGAAGTGGGATTGGCCTGTCAGATAAAGTAGATACAGATAAAACTAAGAACTGGGCACAGGGATTTTTTGTTTGTTTGCTTATCTGCTTTTTAATAAAGAGGTAAGAATTGACAGAAACAGAATCAAGTCAAATAAATGCTTTCAAAGGTATTGGTTATAATAATAATAAGGGGACAAAATAATTGTCATAATAATAACATAGAAAAGATATATTAACTGTGCATACAATAGTCTCTGTAATCTTTTTAGCAATGATTACTTACACTTACAAATGCTTATACTTAGAAGATAATTCTGTAAGCTGATTTAATTTATCTACTTGTAAGTTCAATATATGAAAATCAGTGCTTGTCTGAAAAAAATGAATGAAAAAATGAGAAGTATCATTTGAGTAAACATATTCAGATTTTTAACTGTTTGACAGCATTGATATTTGAACTTCACTAATCAAAACCTACTTTGCAAAATTTATTCAGAAACCAATGACAGATGATGAGCTTGCAGATGCCCTGTCGTCTGACTTTACCTGTAGTATTGCTGCTGCTGAAGAAAAGAAGTCAACAGAGGTATTGATTTTTTTTTTTGCCATGCAATCTTCTATTGTAGTGAAATACTTCTGTTATCATAATGCTTTACTCTAAAATAATGTTGACAGTTTTTATTTTTGAAAAATATTTTTGTAAATTTGCCTGTAATAAAATCCCTCTCATTTTCCTCTCATACTGAAGAAACAAACTAAGGAAGGAGAAATCATACAAGCACAAGCAGCAAGTTCAGTGAAGACTTCAGTTCCTCCTAAAGAGAAGAAAACAAAATCAAAAGAGGTATAAAGGTCTATCTTTTGGCTAGTTAACATCTGATTAAAATTTCAGTGTGCCTTGTCTTATAAAGATACTTGTCATCCTCATTTTAGTTGAAAATCCTGTTTAGCCAAGAGAGTAGGGAAATGTTAGGAATTCTGATAGTGCAGACTATCCAGCGTTTGAAAGATCTGGTCTTGACGGATCAGATTGTTCCTGTCCTCTGTAGAATGACTCTTATTTTGACTGGAGGAGTAAAGTAAATTTTCTTAGCTGTTTTAAACTGCATTTAACATCTGGATGTGATTTTGTTTTCTAACATTTTACAAAGTATTCGTTTTTTTTAATTTAGAGAGACTGTTTGTTACCTTACATTTTTTTTTCTCCAAAATTTGCCGTATGCTTCAGTGTGGTGTTACAAAAATCAAATGCAGTAAAGTCAAAATGACCAGTGTGGTGTTGAATGTTTGCCAGCAAAATACAGCAAAATGTTTGTTTTTGTCCATTTAAAGAAATTAAAAAATGCATATTTTTGTAATATTTTCATACAGGAAATCAGAGAGGATGCAATGGAAGCTCTTATGGATACTATTGGTGGACCTGAACCTGAACCCGAACCGAAAGATGTTAGCACCTTTGTAGAGGTGTCAGAGGTATGATCTTGCACCATTAAAAAGTAAAAAATATGTCTCCCGTGGAACCTTGGATCCTTTTTGTTAGTTATTGTACAAATGTGTTAAATAGTTTGTAGCAAAGCAACTTTCATGTCAAAGCCTAAGGAATGTCTGAGTCCAGTTTGGTTTGAAAAATTTAAAACTTACAGAATCCCAAGTGGAATGAGGTAGAATATCATATGACATTCTGGAAAACTAAAGAATTTTCTTTTTTTAGCTATATAGATATGAATACATATACCTTTCTTTGTGTTAGCTATAGTTCCTCTGTTTTGTTCCCAGTGAATAGGGTACAGTCAATATTAGACCTTTGCTTTGCATATATTGCTTGTTTGATTACTTTTTAATAAATCCTTTTGATGTTTTGTGAGATGTTTTCCTTCATCCACCCAATTCCATTGTCTTTATAATCTGAGTCTTGCCTTTAGCTGTGTCTTCTCAGTCTCTTTTTTTCTCTTTTCTTTTGAAAACTTTCTCTGGAGCTTTATGTGTTTAGAAAACAAAAACAGAATATAGTCCTTTTTATGGTATTGATTCTTATTTTTTTCACATAAACTGGATAAGAATAAATTGAGGAATTCACAGTATCTATGGCCTTTCGGTATCTGAAAGGGGTCTATAGGAAAAAAGGGGACAAACTCTTCAGCAGGGTCTGTTGTGATAGGACAAGGGGAAAATGGTTTAAACTAAAAGATTAAGACTTTTAATATAAGAAGAAAGTTTTCTTTATGGTAATCATGGTGCAGTGCTGGTACAGGTTGCCCAGGGAGGTAGTGGATGTATTGTTAGTAGAGACACGGTCAGACTTAATGTGTCTTACAACTCACACAAATCTATGATTCTATGAACTTGAGTATGTTGATGTACAGAATATTTTTATCTGATGCTAGTATTTCTTTGACTGAACTATCTTGATAGTGATGTTGAGTGTATGCTATGCTTTTGTTTCTCTCAGTAAGTATTTTTCGTACTTTTTTTTTCAGGCAAAAGCTAAGGAGAAAAAAGAAAAAAAGGCTGGAGAACGGGATGATACAGTACCTCCAGAATACAGACTAACTCCAGAGCTGGTCAGTTTTTAAAAATCTCCGTTGCTATGTACGTAGGACAGTTGTCTGTGACACTTTTTTTGGTCACAGGTAGGGACAGAACGTGCAGAAAACAAGCGGTAGTAATGTATTCAACCTGTGGCTTTACCTTCTAGATAATTCTTGTGTCTTCACTTTCCTTCCTTTCCTTTGTGAGCATGACTACATTTTTTTCAGACATCCTCAGGAAAGATAGGATCTTCCCAGCTCATGTGTTCCTTCCTGAAGAGTGGTGTGATTTGTTTCTGATATTTAGCCTCAATGTTGGAAAACTGCTCTTGGTTACCCATTTTCACTGTAGCCTTGAACTACTAATGTAAAACAGTATGGAAACTACTTCTTCAGATTGGAAATTAAAGTGATGGAGATTTGCTCACTGTTAAGAAAACCAGCAGTGGAACTGAGATTTGTTTTCCGTGTAGTTCAATTTCACTACAGAACTGTTTTTTTTTTTTTTTTAAATATTTGTAATATTTGTTAGAATAATTGACATTAACAAATTGGTATGAGAACTGTTGCTTGTGGAGCTGTATGTTTACTCTCAGTTTTGAGTGGAGCACTTTAACCCCTTAATTAGAGATTTCAAGGCTGTCTAGCCAGGAATGTGGAATATAACGGCTTCTTAGCACAAGTGAAAAAGTTTGTCTTTTGCACTCAGAAATTACCTTTCTATTGGATTAACTTCTGCTGTTTTGCCGTAGAATTAATTCATACTGAATATTGATATTAATAGGAATGAACAGTTATTTTCAGTTTTGTGGCCTATTTTTATTGTGTTGACAGCCCAATATATATGTATTTTTTAATCTGCTAACCTGGTGATATAAGATCTACCTCTTTTTAGGGGAATGCCTCTGACTATGTCGCTGATTTAGTCTGGTTATCTCATATTATTATTTTGAGGTGACAGTGGAATATGGAATTATTTCTTGCAATATTGGAAAATACTTGCTTTTTTTACTTTCAGGATAAAGATGGAAAACCAATACTCCCAAAGCCTGAAGAAAAACCTAAGGTTAGAAAACTGACAATAATATCAATAAAACTGACAATAATGTCAAACTGACAATTCACGCTCAGAGTGAATAGATACCCTGTTTTTTCCCCCTTCTGTCATCACTTCTCTCTATGCCATTATGTAAGTCTGTTGATTTGTTTGTGTCTTTAATTCCTTGCATGAAAAGCACTGATCTGAAGAGTCAAGTAGAAGCCATTTTTACTGAAATTTACCGGCTGTGAATGAGGAGATCAAAGTAAGAAAAAGATCTAGAGGTTACTTAGGTATTGAGCAGTTACAGAAGTAACTGTTAACACAAAGAAAAGCTTTTGTAAAGAAATAGTATAAGGTATCCTGTAAAAGTCTGTTGGAGCAATTGAAGTACAGATTGAGGAAAAGTAGGAAAGTCAGTGTTTTCTTGACAGTCATCAAATATAAGGTAATATAACTGGAAGGAGGCAAAAAGGTGCTACAGACATTTTCCTAAATAAAGAGATCAACTTGGACTTCTCAAGAAGCATCTTTGTTGTGGCTTGGAAAGTGCAAGATAGATTGAGTGGATTAAATAAAAAGTTTAATGGTTACTTGAAAAAGTACAAAAGGAAAGCGAAAAAAAAAAGTAGAAAAAGAAAAGTAACTGAAAAGAAAGGAACTGAAATATTATGACTTAAAGAGTCATAAAGAGCCCAAATATTTGGGCTGGAATTGGAAAAGTACAGTTAACCTTCGTTCTTCTGAAATGAGTGTGAAGGTCAGGACCAATCTAAATGAAAATGAAACAGTGCTTTTGTAACAGAAATGTGAATTAATTTAGTATTCAAGCTTGAAATATGGAGGAAGACAAAGACAGTAATGAAAAGACTTCACATTTCTATAAATTTGTGTCTGTCAAATCTCAGATATTCAGCCATCTGGATGGGTGATGTGTGAGAGCTGCACAGAGGAATACTGACAAACATGTCACAAGAGAAAAAAGAGAAGGCTTTGAGGGAACCAGAACTGATGTTAGGAGACAAGTTCTCCTGTTTCACAAGGAGCACAAAGAAAAATGTGCCTAGAAGACAAATGCTCCAAAACAGGAAAAAAGTACAAATTAAAGGAGGCTGATCTATAGTATGAATGAGGTCCAATACCAAAGCAAAACAGGATATCCTATAGCCAAAGAATGACATGAATGACAAAGCAGAAGGATAAGTATTCCTGTGCTTTTATACCCTTCTCTATCTGAGGCACAATTATAATTGAATATTTGACATATCAGGTGTATGCATGTTTTGTGAGGTTTTCTTTGTTTTTTTACTTTTTTTCCCTCTGCATTATGTCCCAATTTGTAATTTGAAGAAGGCAGTTTTTAATAAGTCATACTTGCCAGTGGTGTCGTCAGTAATTTAAATCTATGAAATCAAAAGCAACAAAATAAAAACAATTCTGTCACTAGCTGACTAATCTTCAAATCAGTTAGCATCTCATCCTCAATTCCTGCGAATTGCAGTCAGTTATTTTCATGATTTCAGCTGGACTTTTAGTAGTTAGGGTCTTCTTTTTGCATGCCCTTAGCAACATATGGTATGATTACTTTTGTGAAAAAAAGTTGGTTTTCCTAAATGATTTTTTGAGATAGTGGTTTAGAGAGGAAGTCCTTAGTTATGAATAGTGAAACTTTTCGTGATTAAATATTTTAGAAATACTTAGGGAAACTGACCAACAAAAGAAACAGTGTGAGAGGGGAAAGAGGTAGGAGTCTCCTTTAGGAATATCATAATATGTATTATGAACTTAATCAAATAAGTCTTTATTAAATGAACTGCACATAGCCATTTAATGGTTATCACTGATGTTAAATCAGCTGACATTTTGGTGTAAACCTAAAAGCCAGAAGGACCACAGGAGCATTTGTAATAGATCACAGAGTACTAAATTACGAAGTATCAACAAATTCTAACAGTTTGCAGAGCAGGGAAAGAAAGCTGCAATTTATGCACTTTTTCCTGGAGTATTCATAGGGGAAGACATGGAATGTCAGCAGTCACTGCATGAGCTGAGAACTTATAAGTGACACTGCCTCTGGGGAGCTTTACTCTGTACTTTGCTGTGAAAAAAAAAATTAAGATGCAAAAATCATAACCTGATGCTGCTGCTTTCCAAAACCTCTGTGTAATTTGTACTTTAAATACTGGATGAGCATGGCATTGGTTTAGTAAAATATCAGTGTTCTGTTTTTTTTTTTCTAGTGAGAAAGTTGCATTTTCATTTCAGTAGCCCAGTAAACTGTATTGAACATAATGTTCCCTAAATTTTGCACGCAACATTCTCTACAGTTACATTAGCTTTTAATATCAAGGAAACTGACTCATTCTGATTTTTCTTGTTGTTGGATTTGCTTTTTTAGTTCCTTGCGCTTTAAAATTCATGATGTTTTTCGGATGTAAATGTCAGAGGTTATTTTGGTATTGGCTACAAAGGTTTGTCTGTAAGAAATAGGCAGTGAGTCACCCATACCACGCATGTCCTTTTTTTGCAGCCTTTGAGTGAATCCGACCTTGTTGATGAATTTTCAAAAGACTTTGCCAGCCCTGCACAGCCTGCAGTACAATCCAAACCATCAAAGTCCAGCAGCACATCCAAAGTAAGTCTAGTCTAGAAAATGTGGTTTGTTAAGACTGGATAGTGCTGCTGTTCATTCAAGAAAAAATATTTCCATTTCTTTGTTATTTCTCTGTGGCTTTCAGTGGAACGTGGGGTATGTCAACTCTGTTTGGCATTTAGTCTTTAATTGAAGGGCATCTAGCTTTAAATTTGGACTCTTTTTCTTCCTCATTTTGTACTGTATTTTTAAAAAGCAAAACAAAACACTTAACAGATATGTTTGGGGTTTCTGAGCATATTCAGTAAGAATATGCTTTCTGTTTCAGAAGCCATCAGCTCCTGCATCTGCAAAAACTGCAAAGGATGAAGTAGTCCCTCGTGCCACAGCTTGCTCTGTGCAGTCTTCAGCTCCAACATCTGTGTCTTCTGTGAGTAGTTAGAGCTAAAGGCAACCTCACTCATAGTGAGGAATTCGTAATGAAGAATTTCTCTCGTAGTGAAGAATTTCTTTTCAATATTTCATTTAATACTGTCTTCTAGTATAAAGCCATTACACCCCGCCAATTCCTTATCCACCGAGTGGCCCATTTGTCAAATCCCCATCTCATCAATTGAGAGACAAGAATGTTGTGAGAGATAATGTCATATGCTTTGCACAAGTCACATAAATGACTTCAGTTGCTCTTCTCTTATCTGCCAATACTTTTACCCCATCAAGGAAGATCATTAACTTTGACAGGCCTGATTTGCCTTTACTTAAGCAGTGTTGGTTGTTAACAGTAATCACTTTGTTTTCCGTGCATAATTTCCAGTAAGATCTGCTCCATGATCTTACTGAGCATGGGGATGAGGCTGACTGACTTTCAGTTTCCTAGGTTTTTCTTTTTTCACTTTTCAGGAATGGGGACTATCCATTTCACCAGTCCCAGTGGGGGTTCAGTTCACTGAACTACCATAATTTCTCAAATATGGCTAAGCAACTTTATCCACAAGTTCCTTCAGGATCTGCAGATGCACCTTGTCAGATCCTGTGGCCTTGTGTACTTTCAGATTCATTAGATGGTCTCAAGCCTGCTCATCTGCAATGAGCAGTACTTCATTCTTCCGGTCCCTACCTTTGGATTCTGCAGTCTGGTTAGGACACTTGCCAGGGAAAATGAGGCAAATAAATCATTGAGTGCCTCAGCCTCCAGTGTATCTCAAGTAACCGAGTCTTCTGTTTTGTCCAGTCAAGAGAAGGTTCACATTTTACTTAGGCTCCCTTTAATCACTGATGTACTTACAGCAAGGCTTTCTCATCATCCTTGATGTCCCTTGCCAAATTTGCTTTAAGGACTTCAGCTTTCCCAACCTGATCCCTGGATGTTTGGACAATGTCTCTGTATTTCTCTCAGGTTAGCCATCCTTGCTTTCACTCTCTTCAGACTTCTTATTTGAGCTTGAATTTGACAAGATTTCCTTGTTCATCCTTTAATGTTCACCCATAAGCTCTCAGTCAGTTTCTCTTTACCCCCAGGCAGAGTTTGTGCACCCCAGATGGTCTTTGACATCAAAGGAAACACCCCCTCCTCATCTTCCCTGTTTACCCTTCCCATGGAGCCTTCATCTTTCCATTATAACACACAAGTCATGTGAGCCACTTATCCATGATGCCAGTAAAAGCATAGCCCTATGAATGTGATATGCATTTGCATGGAGTCATTTGGGTTTGGCCCCTGATGAAGTTGTCTTGCTGGCTGGAGGGGATTGTGGTGCATGTCAGACTTAAACGGGGAAGGTCAACAGGGAAGTTCTTAACAGAGTAATTTGAACTGACAGTTCTTGTGGTCTGCTCTACCCCCTGTGCCATTAAAGGGATGATGCTAGTGAATTTAATAAATACTTAGGGAAGAAGAGATTATACAGCAGTAGAATTCAGTAATGTGTGTCTGGCAATTGTAGCGTATGAGGAGTTTTCTTCAGCTGCAATGAAATTCCAAACACATAATTATGTTTTGCTATATCAATACTCTGGCAGGTTGGTCATGTAGCCGATGAAGCACTAGAAGCCTTGTCCAGTGGTCTTGGAAAGGGGGAGCCTGATCTAGAAGAAAAGAAACCTGCGGTGGACAAAGTTAAGGTAGAAAAATATTCAGACCTCAAAAAATGCTTTGTTGGTATACATATCTTCATTGTTTCTGTATTTCCACAGGCTAAACAAGTTGGAGGAGTACTCACACTTTTTAAAAAAGAATATTTACTTGCGAAACAAGTTGTGTTTTGCTTAGGAAATTCTGGTAGGGTTTAAATACAGTGAGTACTTCGTTGTTGTGCCTGTTGGTAGTATTTCATCTTTTGTCAGCTTCTGAAAACTGCTTTTGCTTGAGTATTACTGCAGAAACAAAGCAGAGGTAATGTGTGCATTGGAATTGGCAATTGGAATTGGAATATAGTTTAGTCCTTTTCCAAAAGGAACATTTATGATGAGTTGTTTAAATTAGGAATGTCACTGTGGGCTAAGTGCTAATGAATGTAAAAAAAAGAGCAACTCTTCTGGTGTTCTAGGAGCATGTCAAACAAAATTTTTTAAGGTTAGTTTTACTGTGATGTCTTCCTTATCGTCTTCCTGTACAATTTGTAGTGGGAGTAGTCCTTTATGGATTCGGCTACTGCATTCTCTGCTTAGACTACATGCAGGGTAGTTGCTGAGTGCATTTCAAACAAAGTCAGAATTTTGGCTCAGAGGTACACCGCTGTTATGTTTACTGATTCATTCTTGCCCATTTACTTAACTCTGCTGATCTTCATTGAGGGATGTGGAGCTGCTCCTAGTAGAAAGAAACACAAAGATAGATAAAGCCTTTTTGAAGGGCTCTTTGAATTTGCATGAGATTTTTTCATCTGGCTTTTGTATTGAATTAGAAAGATTGATTTGAATCAGTAAACTGAAGACACTGAAAAGTTTTGTATTTGAGTTTCTGTTGAGATGTGACAGTTTTATTAATTTTATTTTGCCTTCAAAGGAGAAAACCAAACAGAAAGAACACAAAGAAGATGAACAAACAATTCCTCCAGAGTACAGATCAACGAATGCAAAAGTAATAAACTTAATGTTCTATTTCAGTCTGACCTTTCATTCCTCAATTCACATGGATGAAACTGAAACTGTATTTCATTTTGATATGTTTACTTAAGGCAGTTTTACACTACGTAGAAGTCATGGTTTGTAATTCCTGGATTATCTGACATCCTTCATTAGATGCCTCCTTAGGAACTGAAATGGTTTAGATGCAAATGCCTGCATATGAGTAATTTTGTTTGAGATTAGTATGGTGGAGTCTTTCATCATATTGTAAAATTTAATAAGTCATGACTACTTAAAACTGTTCTTAAAACACTCCACAAAACAACAACTTTCAAGTAGAAATTTTTACAGACAGCACCACACAACTCATTTGACATAAATGGGTTGCTTACGTATAGCCAAGTCCTGCCCATCACTTGCCACAGGTACCAGTGTGACACCGCCTTTCTTGACTCTTTATTCAGCAGTATATTGATAGCAAGCTGGAAGTTGAGATCTTATTTAATTCTGCTGCTTACTTTCCACAGAAACAGAAAATTGGAGAAGCTCAGAATCCACACAGTGAATAACTTTTAAGTAGTCATGTCTTTAAGTTGCAGGACCTTGATTTTTTAGATGACAACTTGGGTAACAGAGGTAAATGCTAGAAATTGCTAGTTAGATCCTTTTCTTTGGTAGTACTATTTGTCAGTAAGTAATTTCTGTCGGACTTCTCATATTGCATGGTCATTTAAGGACTGCTTGATTTAATGTAAGGGAATTTTTCTTTTGTAGGATAAAGATGGAAGACCTGAAGAAAAGTCCCAGGTAAAGTGAACATTTACATATTTAGAGGACTGTTTCATTCATTAATGGCTAACTCAAACATTTGTAAGATTTGCTAGTGTTGAATTTTATAAATAGACCTACTGATATTTTTTGTCCTTTTCAATGATAGCCTATGAGTGAAAACGATCTGTTAGAAGGTTTGACAAAAGGATTTTCTCCAGCCCAATCTGCACCATTACCTACACAAACTGTAAAAAAGGTGAGTATATTTATCTTCTAAAGATGTATTTTCACATAATTTGAGTAACCTTTTGTTTTATTTTTTCCCTTAATTTTTATGCAAATATTCATGAGTGATTAAATTTTAATTCTGTAGCAGGACATTAGTGGAATAGAGAGCAAGACTTCAATAGTAAGAAAAAAGCTGGACAAGTTAGCTTTCGCATTTTCTTACCAGTTGTGTGCATATATAGTGCTTGAAGTAGAAATTTCTGAAAGTGCTACTTGATACAGATGGGCTTGGTGAAATCGTACCTACTCTTAGGTTTTCTGAAACCTGCCTTTGACTTAACTAAGCCAGATTTTAAGTAGCTGAGATGGAAGATTGAACATGAACAAGCTAAGATGGAAAACACCTACACTCTGCACACAAGAAGACATTTCAATCTAAAATAAGTCAAGCTTTGAAGAAAAAGGAAGCCCTTTAAGAGTGATGTGGGCATTGCATTTCAAATGCGTGGAATTTGATAAATATTTTTCTTTTAGTCATCTCTGTTAGTAATGAGGCTATGTCTTGTTTCAGAAAACCAAAGCGGGTAAAAAAACTGCAGATTCTTCAGATGTTATCTCTGCTTCTACAGTTTCCTCAGTGCACTCAGCAACTCCCCTGGCTTCCACGTCGGTAAGCAATGTTTTCTTTAGATCCTGCTTTCAGATGAGAGATTGATGAGTAGAGTTCGGAGAGTCATAAGGCCAGTTTTACCACTGTAGGCCATTGTAAAGTTAAGTCATTAGTTGTTAATAATGGTTATTGAGATAAAAATGTGGTTTTTTTTTATCTGGAAAAAAGAGTTTGGAGTGTTCTGGACATTTTGTGTTTGTCTTTGAAGACTGTTCTGTCTGTTTTATCTGAATAGTGTCATATTCCAGTTTGTTCTTGAGAGCTCCCTGCCTGTTCTTAGAAAACGAGAAACACAATCTCATGCTGATTGCTCCAGAATTACAGAGGGTATCAGCAGGATTTGGCATTTCAGTTCCGTGGGCAGATGAAGATAGTTACCTGCATGCAAACAGCTTCATTTTTAGGCTTTGATCTTTTAACGGAACCACACCCGTCTTTTTCTGGTTAGGTAATGTCAGTATCACAAATAATAATAGCATAGTAATCAACCAGTGGCTTAATCATTTGCATTTTGTAAGCCTAAACGTGAAAGAATTCACTGTTAGTGAAAGCCCAGGTAGCTCCATGTCCTTCTAATACCAAGATTTTTCTTACGCTGAGATGTAATGTTGTATGTAGAGGCCATTTTCCACTTTGATCCACGCAGTGAGAGCGCCCTCTAGTGTTTTCAACCTACTTTGAAAGGGGAATGTAGAACAACTAATATGCAGTGATGATATTTGCAAAATGAATGACTCCTAACAAAAAAAAACCAACAATCTTTTCTTAGTACTATTCTCATTAGTTCAATTGTATAACAAAACAAAACCGTTAAAATCAATTCTATAACCTCTACTTGAAATTGATTTCTGTATGTCTTCAGTATACAAATGTTTTTTCCCCAGCTGTTACTACTACTTTGCAATTAGAAACTGAAAACTATCTGTACGTTCTTCTCTGGACATTACATGAATTAGTACTTAACGCTAGCTTAATAAAAAACAATATTTTCACAGCGGATTTGGTTTCTCACATATGTTTATATTTTATTAGGGAGGAAAAGAGATGGATGATGCCTTGGATCTCTTGTCTGATTCCCTGGGACAGAGAGAACCTGATCCTGATGAGAACAAACCAGTTGTGGATAAAGTAAAGGTAATAAAAGATATTCTGAAACTTTTGCTATCTCAGTAAAGTGAGGACTTTAATTTTTTATTATTATTATTTCTAAGCAGGCAGTCTACAGTCAGATGAATTCTTTGTGAATTTTGTCAGAGATATTGAGTTAATACATTTTAGCTATTTGGAGATAATTGTTAAAATATTACAGGAATTTGCAATAATTTGACTTTGCTCCCTTTTGTTGTTATTGTTCTACTTATTTTTCAGGTTTCTTCTCTGGCCTCTGAATGTTATGGCCTTTTTGTCAAACCTCATTGACTTTTATGACCCCACAGACAAATTAGTCAATGGGGATACTTGTTTAACCAGTTCTGTTTTTTTCTACTTGCTTGTTTCTGATTGTTTCATCTTCGTTCGGTACTTTTTCATATAATTGTATAAAGAACTTTCTGTTAATAATTAAAACACATTCATCTCTGCATAATAGTAGTAGTTGTAGTAAGCCGTAAGCTGAAATACTTAAAGGATTAGTTCTGAAGTATAATCACTATACATAACCATGAATAAAATAGACTCAAAATGGGAAGGTTTCTAGTCTGACTTAAGGTCATTGTAGTGATTTTTGGCTTCCCTATTTCCAGTCATTGGGGACTGACTGTCATGATTTTTTCAGCGTTACTGAGGGTGGGTTGGCAACCACATCAGGCAGTTCCTTCAGGCAGCTGGAATGCATGTCATAGGGTCCCATATACTTGTGCACAGTCAGCCTCCTGAGGCAGTCTTGAACTTGCTCTTTGCTTACAGTGGGAGTGATTTTGCTTCTGCAGCCCATACCTAAATGTTATGAGAGATACAAGAAGCCTGACTGCCAGAAACCACTGAGGTAGAGAGCTTGTTGAGTACCTCAGCCTTCTGCATATCCAGCAGGTTACCTCATTGCTCTCTGCATCTTCCTGAGGAAGTGAAGCAGAGGGAGGTGTGAGACTCTGCTCCAGGGATCCAATGGCAGGTTGGGAAGCACAGAGCGATGGAGGTTCAGAACAGACAGTGGGAAATATTTCTTCACTGTTTGGATGGCCCAGCTCTGAAACAGGCTTCTTGGGGAGGTGGTTGATGCCCCATGCCTGTCAGGATTCAGAAGGCAATTGAATAATGCTTGAATTATAAGCTCTTAACTTTTGCTTAGTCAGGCAGTTGGAGTAGATGATTTTTGAAAATTTCTTCCAAGAGAACTGCTCTATTACATTCTAATGTAATTTAGACAGAACTATTTTCTTTATGCTGGTCTGCTGTTGCATATATAGGTACATAACTTAGTGAATAGGTGCACCTATTGAGAGCTTGTAGTTTTAAAACTTTCAGACATTGAGCACACACTTGGTTGTGAAATAGATATATGTGGATGTTTCCCAGTAGTTCTGTAATTTTAAATTCAAAAGAGGCAGCCGTCCTAATTTTTTTTAAATGAACACTCACAGTTTTCTGATGTTTATAATGTTTGTCAAACTAATTTGACTGATTTTGTATTTATTGAACTACTTCATGATGCACAAGAGAGAACAACCTTCTGTGTAGTAAATAAGTATCCAGTTTTAAAATGTAATAGGAACAGGAAAAAATGTAAGTACTGAAATTCTTAAATGTTTTCAGGAAAAAACTAAATCTGAACACAGAGACAAACTTGGAGAAAGAGATGATACTATTCCACCTGACTATCAAAAACTTCTGGAGTCATCTGGTGAGGTAAGGAGAAACTGTGTGGTTTTTGTTACATTATTTTACTGTAACTAGAAATTTGTGCACACATGCCAGAGTTTCCTCTGTGGAATTACAGGCAGAACAGTGAAACTGAACCAGGAAGAGTGTGTGATGTATTAATATATATAAGATTTACATGTTGAACTTTAATACTTACGAGAAGCTGTCTGCATCCTTTCTTGCATTTAATATAAAAAAACAAACAACAGTCTGACTTAGATAGTGTTTTATAGGCAGTCTGAAAAAATAAATCAATTTTAACAAGCCAATAGCAATCATCATGAATTTTTAGCAGCACAGCTTTCAGATATACTGGCGCATTTTCTTAGCTGTTCCAGAAAACCAGGAGAACAAATTCTGTATCGCCCTTTACGAAGATGTTGCTTATAGTCTCCTGTACACAGGAGCTATTTACAAACTGTATGTAATAATGCTTATTGTTTCTAGGTAGTTTCTAGTCTGAGAACTATATCTACAAGTGTGACCTTTGTGGTATGTATGAAGCCCTATTAGCTGACATTCACTGTAATGAGTGACTGTGCTGACAGTGATTTGATCTGCTCTAGGTCAAGAAACTTTTTCCTGTAGACTGCAAAGGCAGATGAAGTGACAAACATAGTCAAAAGAATAGAGAGTGAAAATGCATTCTGAACTGATTTTGAATGTATTTCACAAGTAATAAAGAAGTCAGGTCACAATGGTTCAACTTTCATAATAACATGAAAACTCCCTGTGTAATACGTGAGAGTGTGTTAAATCATAAAAAGAATCTGACCAGCCCAACTTGAAGATGTAATCTTTGTTCCTTCAAAGGGTAAACCTGTCAAGCCAGTACCAAAGGATGCTTTGAAAAACAAGGAACAGAAGGTAAAATTTCTTACATTTTTGGTCTGTGATTGTTTGCTGTGTACTCTGATTTTTTTTTTTTTTTAATCTGTGTCCTTTGGAGGCTTAAAATTAATTTTATTGTAAAATGTCATAAGTGCTACTGAATACAGTAGGTAATAGGAACAGCAGACAGCAAAACTTTTCTTAAGAATAACTATTCATTATAAGCACACAAATGTGCTAGTAATGTAGGGATCTGGTATTAAAAGATATTGTGTAGTTTGGAAACCTCAAATAAATGCATCTGTTCTGTAGAGGTAATGTACAGAAGACATATGTAAGGTGATTGAGCCATTCTTTAATGCCTAAAACAATAACTTGGGCTTTAGGAGTTAGCATATTTTAACTTCATAATTAACATCATTGCAGAAGCCTACAGATGAGTCTGCTGCTATCGATGCCCTGTCAGGTGACTTTGATACTAGTCCCAAGACTTCTGCCACACCACAGCACTCAAAGGTAGGACATTTTCTGCTAATAACACACACAAAAACCCCAAACCAACAGTTTTTCACTACTCTATGAAAGTTGTTTTCTTTGCCATAGCTCAGTTTAGAATCAGGTGTATCTTCTTTAGAATGTGCTTTCAAAATGTAATGATTCTTAATACTATAAGGGAAGTTTGATGTGTCCTCAGAAAGCCAGATTGATGGTTGGACTTGGTGATCTTGAAAGTCTTTTTCAACGTTAATAATTCTGTGATTAAGAGATGTTTTAGTTGGTGATGACCTTTTGAGCTAAATCTTTATGCTCTGTAGCAAACGCAGGATCTGACCAAATACACCAGCCTTTCTATGTCTGTGTACTTTCTTGTACCATAGTTTCCCCAGTATTAAGCAGGGATCCCAACTTCCATGTGTGCAGCCTGCATCTGTGTATTTAAAATAATGTGTAAGGGCAGCAATTTGAGTAAGAGCCATCAGTCCTGTAATGTGTTTGTAACTGTAATTATATTTTTTCTTTGGAGTGTAGGAGAAAAGTGGAAAGGAAACCGTCACCACTAAAGCAACCTCAAAGGATGAAAGAAAACCCAAGGATCATAAAAAGGTAGAAATGTATTGCAGTATGGACAGTCAGGGTTAATATGCACTGTAAGTGGGACAGATGAGCAGCTGCAATTTGGAATTGTATTACGTGCTCCTACTTTGGGGGGAATTTTGCAGCAGTGTGCTAACATCTGCTCTGGAAATGTTCTTTACATTTTAAGTGAAAGGATTTTTGCTTATGGTGAAATTTCTGCACATTCATTTTGTGTAGCAACAGAACTGTCTTACAGTTTTCAGTGTAAAAGTGGAAGGTCTTTAAATCCAGAAAGATGTGGGTTTTTTAAGGTTCTGAATAGTGACTGAATCACTGTGATTTCTGATGACTATCTGTCAGTGTATAAGTTTGGGTTTAGCTTAGTTCAGTTTCATACTGTCTTACTTATTTTGCTCCCTAGGCAAGGGGACAGTCCTCCAGCAGCAAATCTGAGAAGCAGAAAACAAGCTAAACGTTAACCTTTCTAGGTGAGATATTTTCTTCTCTTTTCTCTGAGCTACCATAAAGACAATTCACACTAGTGTTGTCAAAGCTAAGTTTTATAACAGTTTTAATTAAAAGCAGACTGTGATTAGAGACAGAGGAACACGTGGAATAACTCTGTACTTCAGAATCCTATGCAGAAAAGCCCTTACTATTTTTTCCATTTGTCCCTACAGCTAGTATAAAATTATTTCCTGTAGCTAAATTTCTTTAAACCCTTGTAGTTTTAAGCATTACAAAGCATACCATACTGATTCCTTAGTAAGAGCTTTTCTGTGGAATTTACATAGGCCAAGCAGTCTGGTTGTTTTTATAAGACAGTTAACTTACATCATTATTTCTGCATCAGTCAGAAAAAAAATGAAACAAAGCAAACAAAACAAAACAAACTGAAAAAAACCCCCACAGCTAAACCAAAAGGTTCAACAGGTTTCATCAGTTGATGAATGAACCTAAGTCCTGTGTGAAGACTTAGCAATGGACTTCAGAAAGGCAAAGATGTGTAATGGTTCTGTATCTGCAGCAAGCTGATATACTTAGTGCAGTACTTCTTTTGAAAAAAAAACTCCTTTCTTGTGATATTTTGTCTTCCTGGGTTTATTTCTGTCACTAGATATTTTATAACTGTTGATTTTCTATGCTAATGTTCTTATCTTTAATGTATCTATGTTTTTTTCCCCTCAGGATATTGGCACGTGATGTGAAGAGTCTTCTTTTTACTGGGGATAATTATTGCTGCAAAAGCTGGTGCAAAAAGCATGTAGCTATTCTAGGTGTTTTTTGTACTGTGGTATTTCCTGGACTTTTTTCATATTTTCCTTTTTTTCCAGTAGTAGATTAGTTGGTTTTTTTTCTAGCCTTTCATATTATTGTACTGATGTGCTTTAATTTTTTGTGTAATTTTCTTGAGTTCTCAGAGGAAAAGGATGCTTTATATTTGTAAGAAGTATATTTCAGAAATTAATAGCAATGCCAAAAAGAAAATGCAAACTTTTGCACATAATCTCCACATAGTGCCTGTAAATCTCAGAAGAATTTGCATGTGCTAGCAGTTTTAACATTGCAGTGAGTGTAATAAGTATTCTGGAATACAATGAGCTTTAGTTATCACCAGTGCATCTCAGCCTGGCTGCACAGTCTTTCCTGACTTTTTCTTGGTGAGAAAACACAGATAAGCTGTGGAGGCGTAAGGAATGAGAAACTGGTGATAACTGTTTCATCAGGAATAACAAAACAGGTAGTTTTTGATGATGCCTTAGCTGCAGCTAACCATAGCAAAACCACTCCGGATAATACGGACTTTTTTTTGAATTGCAATTGCATCTGTGCTTTTTCATGGTTTTGGGAGTCTTCTGGACTGAAAAAATAAAAATCACTGTGTACCACCACCACCACCATTATAATCACACAAGAGGAAAAAAAGGTGCATAAGCCTTAGCAGAGATCAAAGAGAAATTAAAGTTGACAGCTGGGCTATTTTGATTGTTTGTTTGTTTTTCCTTTTTTGCTGTTTCTGTTCCTCACGCTCCAAGAGAGAATGCAGTAGAACAGAATTTGATGCAGTAAGGAACAATGTCCTTTTCACCAAGTCTTCAAGATAACAGGCAAGAGCAGGCACCCTCTAGGACATCTGCTGCAGGCAGAGCTTTTGGGACCTAGGCATACCAAGTTCTTCCGTTTGTTTACCTCTGTCTTCATTACTTGCAAAACACCTTTTTGCACATCCTTACACATGTACTGCTTCGCTGTTAGCTTACAGAAGGTCATACTAGGGGTCAGTATTTGCAATGATTCCATTACCTGATTCTAGTATGAAGTGTGGCAGACAGAGGTGGCCTTGAGGTGAAAGTTGGAGGATAATCAGAATTTTGACTGTACTCTGCAGTCTGTACTGAGAACCTGTGTCACACTAATAAAGTTTTAAAGAATGCACCATGATGTTTCTAATTTTTTTTTATTTACTGCAGCTGTTACGGGAATAGTTGTTGGAAGATAAAAGCAAGAAATAACTTAAAAATACAGTGGCCTATTAAAACTGAAAATGTGTTTAAAAAAACCAAAATGCTTGTCAGAGGTGCTTCATGAAGCCCTCCATAATCTGATTGTGAGCCAGCTACAGGTCCTTCTTCCTTGCCGCTTGCCACTTTTTCATGCCGTATAGCAGCTTAGTAGGGCCCAACTGGGCCTCAGGCCCAGAACAGCTCAGTTGAGTACACATTTAGAGTTTCCAGAAACAAAATGAAGTGATTATTTTGCTGAAGAAGTCCAGTTAGAATCTGGGACATAATATATATAAATGATGAATGGTCATTCTCAAGAAACCCTTATTTTAACAAAGTATGTGGACCCTGCTCTGCACGTCTGTAGCTGTTGCAATTCATGACTGATTCCTGACATAAGAATTTCAGTAGAGTGCTCCTAGCACGATGAGCAAGCCTTATTCATGACACACACATCTGGGTGTCTAAAATGTTTATTAGTGTGTCACCTCACACAACTCTATGAATAAAGAATATCAGCATACTTGGTGATTCTCCCTTTTCTCCCATAGGGAGAACTGCAACGTATCTGGATATATGCTTGCAAATTAATCAAATTGATGCTTCCCTGAGGTGGTTTTGGTGTTTGTTTTTTTTTTGGTTTTTTGTTTTGTTTTGTTTTTTGAGTTAATTAAAAAAGAAGGGGGGCAGGTGGCTGTTACAGGGAGGGCAAGCAGTGTTACTTAACTTTCCCCAGAGTTAAGAAACTAAAGAAGGTTCTTGGAGCTGAAAATAAAGCAGATAAAGCAGAGAACAGCAATATTAATTCCTTCTTACAATAGAAAAAAAAAATAATCCCAAAACAAAAAAAAGCACCCCACATGTGGAAATGAAGTACTTTAACCAGAACTGTGTAATTTTTTTTTTTTAATTATTATTACTGTAATCAACGTTTCAACCATACCTGAAATACTGAGTCTCAGCTCCTTACAGTTGTTACAAATTGCTGCAAGTCATCCAGGCATCCCAGCCCAAAGTAAGCTGCATTTTGGTGGAGCTCTATACCTGGCTGCTACATCAGCAGCAGTACACCTGTAAAGTACTGCAGTAGCTTAGTGAAGTTCCACTGGCATTAGAAGCTAAGAACTGAACCTCAGCTGTTCATCAGAAAGTAAAACTTCATTTCATAAAAGTTCAAGTATTGAGCTGAAAAAATTCTCTAACTTTGGTACACATGGTGCACATCCTGTTCTGAATTGTTTCCCTCACTGAGTGATGAGGTACAAGATTCCTTATATATGAATGGATAGAGCAAGTGAAAGGAAACGGTGTTTTATACAGGATTGAGACCAAACTTTTGGCCTTTCTAAAGACTTTCTGAACTCTAATTGTAGGTTTCCACTTTTGGAGCAGGTTTTATTCCTAGTAGACTGGAAAGTGAACAAAGCACACTTCTTTGCTTAAAAGCTTATGATTAGTTCCAGCTTGTGCATTTATCCATAGGTTTCAGTCTTTGTTAAGAGGTTTCTGTCTGTGTCAGCCAGTATTGAAATACAGACAGGTCAAAACAGCAGAGAAAAAAAGCTGTGGAATTACAGGCATGCAAGAAATCAAGTGATCTTAGGCACCTATGACAATTAGTTTTCTTTGGTTTTTTTTTTTACTATTAGTATTTGAGTTGAAGGGTTTTTGTAGGTAAGCAGAAAAGGTCATTCACTACTATGTATTAAAAATATATATAATAAAAATAAAAACACCTCGAAGATTTCAACTCATGTTCTCTTAACTATGCCTCTTTCATAATATTCATCAACTGTCTGAGCAATTACCTTATAATCCTTATCATCATCTTAGAGCTAACAAATAAAGCTCATTACAAATGACTATCTGTCCTTTTAACCACCAATGAGTATTTACAGCAGTAGTTGCATTTCAGTTAGTTGTCCAAGGGATCACTAAAAGCAAAATTTACAGCTAAAACAAACTGTTTAATCATCTTAAACTCAGATTCACACAGATTCACACACACAAAATATGCATTCTCCTTTCCTTGACGTGACTTAAAAATACAAAAATATTTTCAGTCAGCAGCAGAAGGCTGAGAGCTTCCTCCAGAAGAAGTAATGCCTCAGGCTTAGCTTTCCCTCCAGCCCTGTATTTTCAGTGCCTTTCAATTATTTCTAACAAATACAAACAAGCTATCCTAATTTATGGCTGGTTCTTTTGCAGCCATGTTTTGATTTCCTCAAAATATCTGTCCATCCATTCTATGTTGTCCTCAATAGTTTCAATGGCTTGCTGGATACAACGAAGCTGTGCACTTTTTTCCTCCAGAGAACTGAAGAATTCTTTTACCTGTTAGTTAAAAAAAAAAAAAGTGAAAGAGTAGCAGATGAATGAAGAGGCAGCAGCATCTCCTACTTTCATAGCAAGAAATTTGTGGTGTTTGACCTGACAACCATCTGACACAAAGAGTTATCTTAGAAGTTTCATAACTGCTCTATTCCAAGAACTGATGGAGATTACATTTAAAATTAATTATTTTTAAAAATCCAGTTGAAATAATGCAATGCTGTATGGGAGGAATCTGTCCTTTGCTCATTCAACAAACCCTTATGGTCATTGAAGCTGTGGCACCTGCACCAAGGACAGCTATGTGTCAGCACAGACTTTCACCACAGAGAGCATTAAGTGTTGATGATAAAATATTCAAAGAAGATTTTTCTACATGGAGAGGTCCATGCCTCCTTCAATTTTCTACCAGGAAAAAAAACCCCACAAAATCTAACCCCTGCAGATCCTCAAGGGAGATGCAGCCACACGTCTGAGCAGTGCACAGAAACATCCCCGCAGTCTGTGGCAGTGGCCAACACACTGCAGGCACATTCACTGAGTTCATTTGGATCTAAGAGGGCTGAGAACCAAGTACAAAACAATGTACTTCTCCTTGTTTTCTTTCATTTTGGATTTATTCTGGTCATACTACTACTGCCTATATTTTGCTATGAATCAGGAAATCTTAAACTGGCAGCAGCAGAGACAACTTCTGAAAAGAAAGTACCAGGCGTTCAATTTTGAGGTTCTTGTGGGGATATGAATCTGCACACTGACCAGCCTTGATTTTTTTTTCTTTGACACTGACAAAGATGGTGGAATAAGTGAACAAAATGATTATCATTTATGACATATTTGCCCATCACTGCTCAGTGAAAAACCTCCTTTTTTTTCCTTCAGTACTTCTCAGAGGGATGCTGTAAGCTCTTGAGCATACACATTTATACTCTACATCCAATTCCTCTGCCTAAACAAAACCCATCCTTCTTGCCACCAGCTTAATGCTCTGCCTTAAGCAATCCAACTCTATTGCTGTAATCATCTCCAAGGAAAATACTGGATACTACTTGGACAATTCATAACCAGTCATGCTTTTAAGATGTTAAAACTTACTCCAAACATTTATTCCAGTGAACGGCTTACCTGTGCAAGTTGTGGCCTTGTTGAGTACTGATTTGTCACTCCAGTGACAATGTGTGCTATGGATGATGAACCGAGTTCAAATCTAGCAAAAAGAATAACCTACACTCAGAAAGTGTGTTATTAGTTTGTAGGAAATAGTGTTTTAATATATGCTTGGGTGCAGACAGGAGTGAAACAACTTCTGTTCCTTACTTTTCAATGAGTTTCTCCCAGTTTTCCCTTAAGAAGGTCCAAGCAAGATGATAGCCAGATGGATTTCTGGCAACAGACACAATAATGTATGGGAAATCCTGAGTTTTTATGATGTCACCACGCAGACCTTCCTCCATTAGCCTAAGAATTAGTAACAGAAATTGAAGTTGTTTAGACCAGTAGATAATAATGACAAATGATTACTCCCCTCAATATTTTCTACTGTTGTAAAAAGTTCAAATTCCTAAAGGTCCTGACACATAATTTCGTTGTGGTGACTTTGAACTGCTTTTTATGGTGTATGTGCACCTTCTCCATTAATATTACTTTCACAAGTACAGTTACTTGATAGACCTGCATCAAGCATTAGTGTTTGAACACCTGAAAACTTCAGTAGTGCTCAGCTCTCAAAAGCAGGGAAAAATCAGGTTTTTGTAAGAAACATACAGCATATCTAGCTACAACCAAAGTAATTATGAAGGTAAAAAAGTGTCTGTCAAGCAAAGGAAAGGTATCAGAACAGCTCTGCATTTTAACCCAATTCGCTACTGCAGATTTACTACTGGCACTAAAACCACGAAAGGAAGTGCTGCAGCCTCTTACTGTATTAACTCCATAAAACATATCAGAAATCCTGAAACTAACAGCTGTGAAACAAGATGGAGCAACTCTCGTTCCTGTTTCAGAACTGGTGTATCTTCCCTCTAACACACTTTTTTTGTGTAACACACCACTCACCACTGAAGTTTGTCCTTATTCCTGGTGAGGCTGAGAGCTGATGCAATTTTATCTTTGTCTACACTGAAGGAGTGGTGCTGGTATTTACTAAGGAGGAAATCCCAACCTTCAGATGTCTGTGCTCCAACGGTATATACTGCTGTCTTCACATCTGCTGGCAGCCTACAGAAAATTGAAGATCAAGTTACATTCCGTGTCACATCTAGGAATGTATGTAGGAATACAGCTGTGCCATGCTTCAGCTGACGCAACAGACAATTTGTTAAGAAATATTGGTCCTCCATGGGTATTAGAAAGCAACGCCTGTTGCTGAAAAACACAGGCTGTATGATGGTGCTGTTACTGCCCTGGAAGTGATTTCCTGAATTGCTGGACTCATTCCTTTTATTTTGTTTTTCTTCCTTACTTTTGAATATTCTTTTCACAGCTGTTTTGTATTTAGTCAGATACCAATGTGGACATTTTTGGCCTGCCCAGAACAATCTCTCAAGAGATGTTTTCAAGGGTGTTTTAGAGAGTTCTTATGTCACGATGAGAAATATGAATTAGGCCAAGTTCATGAACAGAAGCTACCTATTCTTACACATGTAAAAGAGGGAATACATTCACACATAATTTTCACTTTTCGGAACATTTCTAACAAAAAAAGTTGTGAAGTACCACATGACGTCTTTGATGGTTTGGGTATAAGATATTCAACAAAGTGTCGAAGAAGTGGAAGCTAAGACTTGAAAAATGAAACTAGACTCAGCTTCGGACTGCAGAAAAAATTGCAGTAGAACTCATAAATTAACGCTGCTATAATTAAACAGAAATCAAAAAGACAACCCTAGAAAAGGGAATAGTATTTACAAAACAGACCTTAAGGTTCCACTGGATTTCTGCCATTTTGAAAAATACTCTTCTGCTTTGTCCACACAGGGCTGGTACCTGCGCACACATGCAAACACTAGCAGGGACTGCCGAAGCATTCTCTCAGACACTGAGCCTTCATCACTCCAAAGCTGCTTGTCAATTAGGTCCTTAAATAGATTGACTATATATTCCTAAAATAAGGCAATAACAAATATTTATGCAAAGCGCGCTTTGCAAGGTACAAGCAGAGTTACCAAGTTGTAGACACTTAACATATTACCTTTAGCTGTTTTTCTGTGCCATCTGTATCTCTCCGCTCCATGAGCTTGTATATAGGAACCAGCTCATTCATACCCTGGAGTATGGGCATGATCTGTGTTTCCCGTTTCATGTATAAAGTTAAATCAAAAGCTTTAGAAACTGACAGTTTTTTTATTCTAAGGAGAGGAAAGGAGAAGATAAAACAATTTACAATTAAGCTCATAAGACAAGCTTAAAAGCAGAATCACTCTCCTAGTCCATTACCTTACATTGGTATACTTGCACTACATCTGCACTGAAAATGAAATGTTTTTGCCCCCCTTTAAAATCTATTCATTTTCTCCTCTGTGAAACTTCATGCTGAGAATGTAACTTCTGATTCTCTTCTGGTCTAAAAAAACTCCATTTGAATTAGAGAATTACTACTTAGATTTACTTATTAGAGAATTATTAATTAGATTTATTAGATTAATTAGAATTATTAATTCTTATTAAGAATTACTTATTAGAGAATCTACTTAATTGCCTTCTTGCTCCTCAGCTGGACCAGGGAAATTGTAATTTAATTTCCGTGCTTTCCTTTCTTAGACTTGAGAAAGGACAGCTACCTGTGGTGCAGGAGATACAGAGATTTGACAGTCCTAGTAAACATCAGTACTTCCATATAAATGTTCTCCCCAGCACTAGCTCACTTGCAAAAAATTCACTGAGAGATTAAAAGGTTGTGTGAAGATGTGCTGACAGCACCTCGTGTCCTCAAAGAACACTTTAATCCAGGTTTTGAATATTCAACCTACCTTCCTCGGAAGCTAAAATTATAGCAGAGATTGGTAGGACTATGAGCAAAACATTGAAAGAAAAGAGAGGTTTGACAAAAACAGATAGGTTCCATTTTGATTGCAGACCTTAGCACAATGTTAGCAATGGACAAAATACATTCTACTACTGCAGTCTCTGCCAGATCCATGACTGAATACATTTTCACCTCACCAAATGTGTGCCATGTTTGCATTCTCAATGTCTTCAGTGCTTAAGAGGGTAATAGTTAAAGGCAACCTAAGAAGACCTGGTGTGATATCATAGTAGAAAGAGTTACAGTGTCTTAAAAAAAAAACCCTCAGCTTGCAGAGAGCTCAAGGGCTCCATTTCAAGGAGTTTTAAGTCTCATAATTTTGTCTGACAGACCTCACTACTACAATAAACAGGTCATTGTTAGGGATGGCACACATGTATATGTGCTGCTTCCCTGTGAAAAATGAACTCTGAAGTAACAATTAACACAGCAAATACTGTATTTCACAGAGAACTCAGTTGCAAACCCTCCTTCTCAAAAACGAGACTCAAACAGTAAGCTACATGCTGTTGCAAACACACGAGGGACTGTTTGGAGCATGAGAATTACTATGTCCTCTGGTCTGTATTTTGTCGTGGACAGAACATCTTACCTCACAAGCTGGAATATATTGTTAATAAGACTTGCTCTGTCATTGCTGCTAATTATCGTATGATTCTCTCTTAAAAGGTTGATCAGACGATCCCATCCGTCATCTTCATAGTGCACAATGTAATAACCATTCATGTCCACATTGAATTTAAGCCATTCAACTTCTTCTGGAAGGATTATGACATCTGCAAACATAAATATAACTCCTTTTTGTTAATTAATCAAATACAGCTTAGGGTTAGACCCACAATTTGTTTCATTTCAGAGATTTAAATAGAATTCCAACATGGCTGAATACAGTAAGAGACTAGTATAGTGATGTTATTCAGATAACAAAAAAAAAGCTTATTTTGTTGTCAATTCTGAAAAAAAAAACCAAACCAAAACGAACAAACAAAACAAACAAAAAAAACAACAGCAGAGCTAAAAAGCTTTTGAACTTTGAACAAGTTAATCAAATTAGTCAAAGAAATTACCTGTTTTGGTTCTCATCAAAAATCTTTGAACAGTGTGAGATTTGCTGGTAATGTAGGTTAGTGGAATGTGCCACAAGTACCTATTGCAAAACAGAAGTGCTTTGTTTAATGAAAAAGCTTTGTAAAACCTTCTCCAACTCAGCTCAGCCTAACAGCTGAGCAGTATCTTCTACCTGCCAGATGACAGCCATGAGCTGCAATCACTTCTGTTCATTTTCAGTACAGACCCACATGCATCTAGCTAATTTTAATTCTGTTTGCTTGGAAGATTAACAGTGAAGCTGCAACAGTAAGAACTTCCAAGCCTAGTTCCAGTAGCATGTTTGCAGTGCAGGTTTACTCAGCTCACCAAGGTGCCCAGCCCCTGCAGCTCTGAAGCATCTGTTACTCCAACCAGGTACTCAGAGTCTCACCAACTGCACCTACTGCAGCAGTGGTGCTGGTACTGAGCTGCACAAAGACACTCAACTAGTTTGCTCAGGCAGCATTCTTTAAGAAACAAGAGTAAAAGCTCTTACTGTTTAGCTGTGTTTGTGACAGGTTAGTACTGTAGTCTGTGCCCTGAGATTTACCCATTTTCTTTACCCATTTTCTGTGGGTGAGAGAGAATGTACTCCTATCTTGTAGTGCTCCTGCTGCAGATGGACATTCTTTCCTCTCACGGTGACAGTTACCAGGGGAAAACCTTTTTGCAGTGTCCAAGTGTCCATCATTGCCTTCACATCTAGAGTCTCTTTGGTCCAGTGCTGCTGAGTGAGAGAAAAAGACATGTAAGAAGAGGAGGAAGACAGATGGAGTACAATGACAATGAAATAGACTTAAGTAGGAAAGCACCGAATAAAAGCTGCTGCGAATTTGTAAGCTCTGTATAGAAAAGTTTAGGATGGAACATGGGATATCAATACATCTCTGGCTGATCTCCCTTTGGACACTTTTACATAACTACCAACTAGTAGTGCAGTTTTCCAGTCAGCACTGGGCACAGAAGTAGGATTTATGTCCAGGTACCAATCCTACAGCACAGGATAGTAACATGAGGACATATGAGTGTTACATGTCAAACTTCCAAATACTACAGAGTAAAATACTAGATGCTTACTGCATTTGAAGATGACTGTTGATTTCTTCTGCAAAAGCCATCACCCTGTAGTTCACTTTTTTCAGTATCTACTGTGGGACAAATCTGTAAAAGAGTTTCAGTCACCCGTTGATGTAATAGCTTTAAGTGGTGTTTGCAGTCTTCTTTAGTGTACAAGAGAAAGAAATTACTGGTGAAAAGCTATGAAATTTGATTAAAAAAAAAAAAAAAAAGAGAGTAAAAGAAATACTTGCATTTGTCAAACTGTCCCACAAATCTTCATTCTTAGTATTCTGGTAACTGTATTTCTGTAGGTACTGCACAATTCCAGCCTTAAACACATCTGCAGTCAGGAAGTCCCTCAACATATTTAATATACACGATCCCTGAAAAAAAAAAAAAGAGTGACAAACTGTTTATAGCACCACTCCTTAGACAGCAAAATGCTTGTTTTGGTAATTTTTCAGCATGCTACTCATCCAAATAGCACTATGGCTTTACTTGTCTCTGATCAAAAAACAACTGAGCTTTATATATATTTAAGTCATAATTCTTAAAAATATAGTGGCTTGAGTAAACTGTTATTATTTTTTTAATTGCTATATGGAACGGGCACCATATAATCCTACACTGAAAAATGCTGCTTGACTTAAGCATCTGAAATAACGGTTTAATGGTTTAAATTGATACAGAACAGAGAAGAGGGAGTAAAACCTTTTTTTTTTTTTTTTTTTTAGACAGAAAAGGAAAACCACCATTTGAACTTCATTCATGTGCTTTGGACAAGGAATTAGGCAAGTTCATAAAAATGTGTGCTGACGCCTTGGCTCAGGGATTCCTGGTACAAAGGACTGGGATCAGTACATCACAGCCATAGTGTACCTTCAGTACAATTGAAAATAGAAGCAGTTAGTTACTTATTTTACCTTCTCGTATGAAACTTCATCAAACATTTCTAAAATTTGAGCTGGATCCTCCACAGGAGTAGACACAGGATGGGATGAATTTAACGCATCCACTTCCATGGCATCAAAGCATCTTCTTAAGAAATAATCTTCCTAATGGGAGGCAGAACTGATTATTGGTACTACATTTTGCTCAGTGACTACTGAGTTCCCGTTAGTTCACATTACAATCCATGCCTCATCATCTTTACATCACACAAGGAAAGCAACGTACATCTTTCTTTTTATTGCAGAGCATTAGAAAAAAACACTGACATTAACATAAGAGATGCAAATTTCTTCTACCAGTCTGAACAAACTTAGACAGACCAGTTAGTGAGAGCTGAAAATAACTCCACAAAAGCACATGCACACTCCAACATCTTTTTGATGACAAAAAGAACAGTCAGCAACCATTAAACAAAGAAAAAAGAAAACACAAGAACAACAATAAAACAAACAAAAAAATGCAATGGTGAATTTCTTCATCATCATTCCAATGTAATTTTATAGCAAAATCCTGCACAGATCTTCCCAGTGCATCTCACTTTGGTGGGGCTATGCAAAATTGCAGAATTACTGATATTACTTACATTACTTATTACTTAGGATTTAAGTTTGACTGTATGTGGCTAAGAGAAAGACAAAATCACTTCTTTACACTTTTGAAAATATAAATAACTTAAAAAAAAAAAAAAAAAGAGTGCACTTTCATTACAATCATTAACTTCCATCATCAGTTTCTGAAAATAATTACACGCTATTCAATCAACATTCCCACCCTTCAGAGTTAAGATCAGACAATTCCTTCAAAATGAAATTAAGAAGTGTTTCACAGCACAAAACTGCATGGTCTTTACCATACAAATTATTGGTCTTAGAAGACAGATCTAAAATAAAAATGCAGGAAATACCACTTACAACTCTCAGTTCTGGATGAGTTATGTTTACTGACAGGAGCTCCATAAACTTTGCAAACCCTTCATTTAACCACAGGTCATTCCACCACTCCATGGTAACTAGGTTGCCAAACCACTGAAACAACAAAAACACCAAACTCCTGAAATTAAGTACCCAGCTTGTCACAAAAGCTACTGCTGACCTGCATGAAACTGAATTTATATTATTTTAAGGATCCTTAAAGGTCCTTAAAAACTGACTTTTTAAGGATCTTTTTAGTAACATAGCTAGCTTTGGGCTCTTTCATTTGTTGTTTTTATGGTAAAACTCTAAAGCACTGGTTTCCACTTCCATTCCTTGAAACCTTGTAAATTAAACAAGTTTGTTAGGGGAGCCAGATATAAATATTTTCCAAACCTTTATGTATCTATATCCAGGCCCCACAGCTAATTGCGATGGTTGACGATGGCGCAAAGGCCCCACTGAACTACCAAACTTACCAGAATAAATACATCTACAGCCTTCCATGTCTGTGCAGCCTGACTAGACTTCTTTACTGGAAATAGTCCTCACTGCTCAGAGGAGAACACCCTCAGGCTGGAGCAGCTATTTTCAGTTTGTAGTCCCAACATCCCCTCATCCACACAGAATCCACCAACCTTGACCACTTTGTGGGCCCATTCTGATACTTTATTGTTATTCCTAAATCTCACCTGGTGAGCCAGCTCATGGGCTATTATCATAGTAATCCAAAGCCTAGAGGATGCTGAGGACTTTTCAGGATCATACAGCAACGCAGATTCCCGGTATGTGGTCAACCCCCAGTTTTCCATAGCACCAGACTGAAAATCAGGAATAGCTGCTAAATCTAGAAAACAAAACAAAACATTAAAATACTGCTAGGATTATTTTACCCAGCAAGAACCCAGCTACCTGTTCATCCCACTTCACCACAGCACCCGCGCAGGCACACATATCACATATACCACACATACTTTTAAGGGGTTCCTCAAATGCAATAGCAAAAACATACTTCAAAGAAGTTCTATACAGAATACAAGGATTTTCAGTTCACAATGCAGCTTTTAAAACTACTCTTAAGCAAGATGACGAAGAAAGCACAAAAGCATAAAAGCTTGTGAGCCAGTCAGCCCAGTCTTACATGAATTACTAACTCTAGACTATTTTTCTCTCTGTTCTTAAAAATATTATTACCTTACCTTGTTTTGGTAAGGGGTAGGGAATGCTGAAGTAGTCCTCATAAAAGTCTAGAAGTTTTACTGCTGCATCCAATGCATAATGAGCCTGGTTGATCTTTTCTGGTACTGTGTATACGGAAATCTACAGCACACAAGCAAGCAGGATTTTGATACCACCGTCAAAACCTTATGTCATTTGTTCTTTTACACTGCTATTAGAATGAACATAAAAAGTGACTCCAGAGCACAGAGTGCTCATAGAGCACCGTTCTTATGCAACAGTGGTTTTTAACAATCCAGAAAAAATATGATAAAAACTAAAAATACAAATTCTAACTTACTTCTGCAGCCAGTACACTCCCACAAAGACTTCTACAATTCCCACCCCTATCATGCTGGAGTTGTTCAAGCTACACAGATATATTCTTCTCTTGATTTTCTAAGAAAACAATATTTCGTTTCCTTTTTCTCTTACATGTGACAATGTTACACACAGTGTACATGTATAAAAAGCAAGAATATTACTAAAAGGTTTTGACTAATCATCCAATCATCTAATTACAAACCCTTCTTCATTCTGTCTTTTAATTCACGAAAAACTTCAGGATGTTTAAAAGCAATGATTTAACTGAAAAGTAAACTGTATGTTTCCATACAGATCTTCTTACAAAGCTCTTAGAAACTGAGAAAGATCTACCTTAACTCCATGATTGGTTACTTTGCTGATGGACTTAAAATCCGAAACGATAAAGGCCACAAGGTAAGTGCTCATCTTGACACTGGTATCAAAATGGTCCTCAACAAGCCATGAGGCTATATTCACGGACTTCACCTAAAAAAATAACAAGCACAGCACATCATTCATTGCTAGTATGCATGAGGACTCTCAGATCATAAATTGCTATGGGTTTTTTTTCAGTTTTATTGAGACCACTTTGAAGATACATTGGAAAGAATCAATTCCCATGGCTATCCTCCCCACACAAAGAAAACATAACATACAAGTAATTTCACTCATAAGAAGTGAAACTTACAAGTTATTTCAACATTGCTAAAACTAAATAAAGAAAAATACTGGTTGCTGCCTCAATTTTCTTCAGTGTGTGACAGCACATCAATCAAATTAAATTGTCTAAATCTAAACATTAATTATTATTCATGAGAGAAATAAACTTCAGACAATGATCAGCTGTCTCAGTATCTAATTGACAACAAGATGGGTCACCTGTTGGAGTTATCCATTTTTCCTTTTGGTTACATACAAGCCTAGCTAAATAACTTAGACTCACCAAATATGAAAAAAAAAAAAAAAAAAACCCCACCATTCTATCCATTTCTCTATGTAAGAACTGCTTTTTTAAAACCAATTTTCAAAATATTTCCTTTTTAGAGAGCTACTTTGTGTGTATGGGGAGGTAATATTCCTTCCTCACAAACCAGGAACTGGTAATACAGAAGAACTTACAAAGAATCTCTCATGCAGAAATTAAGATCAGATGGGTAAAATGTAACTTACCCTATTTTATGCAGACATATTTGTAACTGCAAGCAACATTTGGAGTCATTACAGGGTACTGCATTTTCATTGAGATATTTCTGAAGGCCAAACTATCTCTTTTTTACATGAAAGATCTTTTTAGCAGGTAATTAAGGTAATACACAGGAATCGTGTCATGTTGTATTCAGACATATTTTGTTATTAATCTTCAAAATCTATGACAATGATGGAAAGCATTTGGTGAATAAAATACAGGTTATCAAAGCCACATCATGTTGAACATTCTCAAACCATTGCTAAGAAGCAGGAACCCACTGGATGCATAATTTTCTGCATTCCTTTTTAATCTTGTGTCAAAACTACTAGCAATAGCCCACTGTCATAAAAGAAAGGAGGTAACGTTTAGGCCAAGCATTCCTATGCTTGGAAGTTCTCATTTTACTTTCTTGTTTTAATGGCCACCAAGCAATTGCACAACGTTAAACGTATCTACCTACCAGTGGCATATTGGACAATGCAAGGTGATTTGGTTCCCTCCTAATCTTAACTGAAAACCTGGCTTTGAAGGCTGGTTCATCAAAACACGGGAAGGCCATTCTTGCAGATGTTGGCTCAAAATGAGTTGATGCAAGCACTCTAAGTAAAAAAAAGAAAGAAGGAGCTGTAGTCCACACATCTTCACATCCACAGGGTTTATCACCTGTCTAAAAACCGAGTAATTTCATATTAAGGAAACAACTATATGTACTATTATGATGTTTTGCACTTTAACTCAAGAATTGCTGTTTCTGAAACTGTAGAGGGGAACTGAGGTGAGCAGATGAAGTTTATTAAAAACCACCTTGGAAAGGACTGCAGAATAAGAGAAAAATTGCTATGAGCCCAACAAGTCGTCAGCCTTTTCCTCTCGCCATGCCCAAGGGAAATCAATGGATACGTTGTTGGATCAAGGTCTGCTAAAGCCACAGTCAAAACCTTATAGATTAGGAGTAAATTCTTTAGTCAGAGGGTGGTGAGGCCCTGGCACAGCTGCCCAGAGAAGCTGTGGTGCCCCATCCCTGAAGGCGCTCAAGGCCAGGTTGGATGGGGCCCTGGGCAGCGAAGCTGGTGGGGGGCAGCCCTGCCCACGGCATGGGTTGGGGCTGGGTGGGCTTTCAGGGCTCTTGCAACCCAAACCTTTCTATTGTTATACAACTCTATGAACCCCATCGCTATCTGAAAAAAAGGCAGTCCCTTCCCATTGCACAATTTGGTTAGATTTTATTTCACAATTGCAATAGAAACCTCAAGAATGGTTTCCAGAAAGAAAAAAAAAAAAAATCCTAAAGCAGGCAATAACAAATTCTAAAGCCAGAGAAAAATCAAAGAAATCATATTTAGTGCTTTAAAAAGAAAAACAACAACAACAACAACAACAACAACAAACAGCCAGCAAATACCTGAGTTCTCCTTCCTGAGTTCTGTAGGTGCTTTTATAGAAGCCGTGGAAGGAGTCGGAGAGGTTCGCTGAGTACTGGATGCGGAGGGTGTAGTTGTGCCCGGCGCACAGCGGCTCGGTGGCCAGCAGCGCCAGCTGCTCGCGGGGCGGATGCCGCAGCAGCCTCACGTTCCGCACCGTGCAGGTGCTCCCGGCCTCCGCCTCGATGGCAGCCCTGGTGACGCGCAGGCGTTTGCCGTGCAGGACGACCGCCTTCGTCGGCTGCGCGACCGCGACGTCGATGTCCACGGTGCCGGTGAAAGTGAGCGTGGTGAGGTTGGGATGGATGAGGAGGTGGTAGTGCAGCGGGACGACGCTCCTGGGCAGCCTCACCTCGTCCCAGGGAAACTGGGCATCGGCGGCACACCACGCCACGCTCGCCAGCCCCAGCACCACCACCTCCCAGCGCGGCGCTGCCATGGCGGACCGGCTGCCGGTGGCGACCACCCGCACAAGGAAAGAAAGCTCCAAATCGCCGCCGTTCGGACGCGTACAGCTCCGAGGCGGTACCTGCGGCCTGCGGGCCCCGCGCGGCGCTACCTTCGCTTTCGCTTTCGCTTCCCGGCGGTGCGACCATCGCGCCGCGGGGGACGGGGGGAGCGCGGCGCGGCCGGGCCGTGTCAGCTCGGCGGTGCCGTCCCCCGGCGGCGGCACGGCTGGTAGGGCTCCGGCTGCTGGAACCTGATACGCCTTGCTTTGCTGTCCAGTAGCTCCGTGATTAAAACAAGGCGTTTGCTGCCAAAGAGTACCGCTGTAAGTTGAGCGAGCGCTGTCATGTATTTCAGCTGTTGCCGCGGAGCAGAATTGCTCCAAAAATCACAGAACGGCTGAGGTTGGCAGGACTGCTGGGTCAAGCTGTTCTAAGCTCAGCTCCGGCAGGGACACCCGGAGCAGGGTGCCCGGCACCATGCGGCACCAAGCGGCTTCTGAACAGCTCTGAGGAAATCTCTGAGGCAATCATAGAACAGTGGTTTGGGTCGGAAGAGCCCTGAAAGTCCACCCAGCTCCAACCCATGCCGTGGGCAGGGCTGCCCCCCACCAGCTCAACTGCCCGGGTCCCATCCAACCTGGCGCTGAACTCCTCCAGGGACAGTGCACCACAGTTTCCCTGGGCAGCTGTGCCAGGGCCTCACCACCCTCTGAGTAAAGAATTTCCTCCTAACATTTGTCTCGCTCCAATTTATAGGAGGGAGAGGAGATTCTTTTATTATCTATATACCCGGCGTGAGATTAAGAAACAACAGTTCAAATGTTGGTCCGATCAGTTTATTACAAATCTTAATTAGGAAAATGGGAAAGGGGAGGACAGACACTATTATGAATTAGGGTAATGGGGAATGGAAGGAGGGCAATAGAAAAGATAGGAAAGAAGAAGCAAGGAGTCTTTATAAGAAGCAAGAAGGAGATAGTCACCACCATGGATCCAGCGTGGCTCGTAGTTCAGTCTTTGATCTTCAGTAGTGGTGAGTCATTGGGCAGAGTTGTTCTGTTGACGAAGATGATGACAACGGTTACAATGGTGATTATGGCCCCTTTTCAGTGCTTTCGAAGTGGTCAAGTCAGCTGTCTTTGGAGTGACAGCTCAAATCCAAAGTGGTTGAGTCAGCTCTCTTGGAGTGGCAGCTTCTGGCTCTGGGATCTCAGCAGGAAACTCCTTTGTTCCTATTTTCCTGGCCTTGCCAGCAGATAAGAGGGAGCAGGGAGGTGCCAACTTGTATCTTGCCTTCACAGGATACAGCGGCATCATCCCCCAGTCTCCCATAGCAAACAGGAGTTATTTGGTCACAGGCTAGGTCTTCCACCAGTAAACAGTCCTGAGCACTTCTTCCGAAGGCAAACAGCTCCAAAGATGTAAAATTGTCCACACAGTGATGTTGATTGCCACATGACAACACCCATCACTCATCTTCTAGACAAGTCAGTCTTATCACAAAAAATACCTCAGGAAGCAAGCTTTGAGCTAAAAAACAAAGAAGGATTCTTACAACATTTAACCTAAATCTCTCTTATTTTAGTATAAAACCATTCTGCCATGTCCTGTCCCTATTAGACTGTGTAAAAAGTCGATTCCCTCTTTGTTAGCTCCCCTTGAGATCTGGAAAGCCACAACAAGGTCTACTTGGAGCCTCTCCAACCTAAATAAGCCCAGCTCCCTCAGCCTTTCTTCGTAGGACAAATGCTCCAATCCTCTAAGTATCTTTGTGACCTCCTCTGGACCTGCCCCATCAGCTCCATATCCTTGTGCTTCAGGCCCCAGGCCTGGACACGGTGCTTCAGACGGGGCCCCACAAGAGCCGAGCAGAGGGGGGACAATCACCTCCCTCTCCCTGCTGACCACTCCTCTTTTAGTGCAGCCCAGAACACAGATGGCCTTCTGAGCTGCGAGCACTGCTGGCTCATGTCCAGCTTCTCATCCACTAGGACATCCAAGTCCTTCTCCACAGGGCTGCTCTCAAGGAGATCTTCCCCCAGTTTGTATAAATACCTGGAATTGCCCTGACCCAAGTGCAGCACCTTGCACCAACATTGTGCCTCGTTAAACATCTTTGGGTTCAGTCCAAGTGCATTCTGCAGCAGAGCAGGGGATTGTAGAGTGTGGGGGATTCCAGCATGATTGTGTTGTGGTGTAAACTGGCAGGCAGCTAAGCATCACACTGCGTTGTGCTCACTCATCACACAGTGGGATGGGGATGAGACTCAGGAAAAGAAAAGAAAATACAAGAAAAAAGAACTTGTGTGTTGACATAAAATCTGTTTTGTACAACCAGACAGGAAGACAGAAAGGAGAGGAGAGGAGAGGAGA